GTGGCACTTGGACGCCTTTCGACGATCGTTTCGCGGCCTAAATCAGCACGTATGCGGCGGCCAAGACTGCATCTTCTGCGCTCTAAAGGTGAGTTCGAAATTCGATAGCCAAGTCACGAACCATTCGGAGACCGTAAGACATTGCTGAGAACAGTTTTGTTTTTAAGTTAGAAGTAAGATCTTATTTTTATTTTATTAAATTAGATATAACAAATATTAATATTCAACATATATTAAGCTAGCTCCTTTATAGTTCTGAGAAAGAATATTTTTAATATTATAAAGTACAGACCTCTTCCTCTTAATATACCCTTGAAAGACCCCTGCTAATAATAATAGACAATAAAAACATAGTCATGATTATTTTCACAACCCTTTTGGTAGGGAAACCTAGCTTAAATAACCTATTGATGCATTTTATTTTAAGTATTTAAAAAATCTAAAAATTCAGTAACTGAAGTTGAAAATTCGAACTTGTTGGCTCATAAAACTTGGGCATACTTTTAGGCCTTTGAACAGTAGATGGCGCCACTGAGAGTTACAACCATTTGCTGCTGAAGACACATCACATTCTCAGGGTTTTCGCTTAAATAAAGCAATTAAGCCAGGGTCAGGTCAGTTTTTCCAGTCGCCTGTCTGGCTTTTTCCTGATTTTCCGCAGCCGATTTCCGACTGCTCGGCAGCACCTTAATTGCCAACATGCTGTCTTGTCGCCGTCACCGGGAAAATCATCATTTATTCACACGCAGCCCCTTTCTCGTCTCGTTCAACTGTTCATCTGTTCAGCTGCTCAAGTGCGTTTTGTGTTTTTTCCCCAGGCATTGTGCTCTGTGTTTTCCAATTCTCATTTTCCCAGGGACTGGGGAAATCCAGGGAAAAAACGAGATCCTTAAATCGGCAATCCCAGTCCCGAAACATTGCAACACATTCAATGACTCTGGTTCTACCTGGCAGGCAGGTTCACACCCCCTCCACCGCCACACAACCTCGCATGTCCAGGGGTGTTTAGATCCTGGCCCCGGATAAGTCCTGGGATCCTGTAGTCCTGGGCCACTGTTCACGCCTCTCAGGACCAGGACCCTCTAGCGTGACGGCCTTTCAACGGCTCGTTTGTCCTGTTCTCACCTCGTTAAACCTCGAATTAAACGCGAGTCGAGCGCAATTATGCAAATGTCCGCTGGAAATCATAGAGGGGGAGTCAATAAACTCTGCTGTTCCTATAAGAATACTAAGATTATTATTTTCTCATAAGTATATATTTATATTTTAATTGATATAATAGTAGGTTATAATGTTTTCTTAAAAACTGCATACTAAGCTATATTCTCACAACTGCAGATCGTATTTCCCTCGAGATAAACGAAAATTCACTTCTATATCGACTCGCTTTTAATAACCAACCCCAAAAGCATAATTATTCGAGAAGCAAAAAGTCACCAAGTCATCAGAAAGAGATCGCGATTAGCCGAAACCGAAACAAAAAAAAAATCATGGGGCCTCGAATGCAAGCGAGAATTTCCATTTTGATAAAGTGGAAAAACGGAGTAGAGAAAACTTCGGGCGCAGGCAGTCACCCTCTCAGGCGGCTGGTGCAATATAGAAACCAGACCAGCAACGGATGATGATCGTCATTATCATTATCTTGGTGATCATTAGGCAGAAGAGCGGAGAAGAGTCGGCAGAGGACCCAAACATAGACCCAAGTAGCATCTTCCATCGTGCTAACCCCTGGGCAAGCGACAAACTCGTGACGTTCGGGAAAAACTCGGGCCGCCAACAAACAAAAGGCAAAACGACTGTACGCGACTGTACTTTTCGGGCCCGGGCCAAGACGCTCTGGCCACGAGCACAGGGTGTTCACTGTGGTTCCTCTCTCTCTTGGTTTTGTTTCGCTCCTCAAACATTGATGACGACGAAGTGGAAAGTGTTGGTGCCTCTGTCTCCGTCTCGGCCTCTTCTTCTGGTTTGTTTTTGTTTGACTGTTTTGTTTTGACTGTTCTACACCTCCATGTAGTGAGTAGTATCCCCCGAGTTCCCCCGATTCTGCCCCGGTAACCATGGTTGCCACTTGCCCACTTGTTTGCTGCCACATATTAAACGAGCGAAGGGGGCAACCCTTTGTCTCAGCCTTTTTGCATTAATTATACGAGAGAAGAACCCCGACTAAAATTAATTTTTACTCCACCTTTTCCCGCGGGAAGAAGACTATTTAATTATGAAAATCGTCGCTGAAGACATTGGCCTCTTAGGGCTGGGAAACTCCCACGATTGCGATCGCATTTTGACCGTTCCCCACGCTGATTCTTATAAGAGGGTTAAGAACCGAACCGGGGAACTTCTTGATGAAAAATCGTCTCGACAGTTTTCTCGGCTCTGCCATGCTTCAATGCACAATTCCCATTAGGGAAGTCTCTGACTTTTCCTTTTGCATTTCCAGAAATTGAGAAAGGCAGAAAAGCAGTAATCCTCAGTTACACAAATAACCAAAGGACAAAGTCATTATCATTAGAGTGAGGCGACCGAGGAGACAATGTCCTCGGTTAGCGGGAAAACGATCTATCTAAAGATCTATCCAAAGTCCAGGCCGCAGACCCTTGATCGTGTGCCAGTTGCGTGGGTTTCCACTTATCGTGAAACTTTGTTTGCCCTCCAAATATATATATACTCCAGATTCGGAGATTTGGATAATCTGGAAAGCATCTTAAGTAAGTGCAAACAGACAGCCCTTCGGGTTTGTTTTATTCCTCGTTGATGTTTGCCCAGAGCCGCCATAAAAAACGAAACGAAATTACCATGAACAAGATGAGCAATGTTGGAGTTGGGGGTGTATTACTATATGGTATACATATACAGTCTTTCGGTTGGTTTATGGGTTGATCGCAGGGCACGAGCGTGGCGGAGGGCAGGTGCTAATCGCAGATGCGGAGACAAATCCATTTCCATCATCGGCATATCTCTCAATCAGCGTGATTCACTCTTCGGCCGCGATAAAAAAATCAAAAAACCCATGTACGTTGCCGCTCTTTAGCTTTAATTTTGTTAAGCTTTAATTCGGCTTTTTGTTTTTATTGTGTATTTCTTCAGTTTTATTCGTTCGACGTGTGATATGAAGGTTTTTTATTCGCACACAAAGACGACGACAAAGAAGTGCAGTCAATCGCCAACGGGGAATCCATCAATTATTGTATAGGTTTCTTGTTTTTGGTTAGTTTTGCGTTTGACATATTCGAGAAAGAACCCTCCAGCAGCGTGTCCATCCATCAAAATGGTGTTTTTGTTTTGAGCTATTCGATTTCTATTCTGATTCTGCCTCCAGAACTCTTTCCTCCAGAACTATTTCCTCCAGAACTCTTTCCTCCAGAAATCTTTCCTCCAGAACTCTTTCCTCCAGAACTCTTTCCTCCAGAAATCTTTCCTCCAGAACTCTTTCCTCCACAACTCTTCCCATCCGATGTGGCGGACATGGGGCCCACTCGTCGGCCAGATCGGTCTCCCCGTAGAAGTCAACCAGAAAGTCCTCGCCGGCCTCCTGAAGGACATCTACGGCGTCAGTCGTGATACCCAAATCAGGATCGATGTCATCGACAACAGCCCGCACCAAATTCTGGAAGGGCCGCCTGAGGAAGTGGATGCGGCTGGGGACCAGCTTGGGGGTCTTTATATATTTACGGGCTGTTGGCTTGGTACGGACCATTTTTCACTTGACTCGAGCTTCTCCAAATTTATGAAGTCTGGATTTTACAATGATTCAAGCTTCTCCAAATATATGAAGTCTGGATTTTACAATGACAGAATTGACAGTTAATTCTACTGTACTAGATTTTCAGGGAGAATGAATTCTATTTATTTAGTTTATTTTATAGTATAAAAATTAAAATTAGAAATACAGAAAAAAAAGTGAGTCTTATAGCTCGTAGAATTTTCTGGAGATCTAAATTGAAATATTTCCGTGCACCTGTGGCTTTTATGTGGATTCATCCAATGCAACTCCTTTCACTGTTGCATCTCAGTTTGGTGCGCAATTGATTTCGGACCCAATCAATCAACTGGCTTTGCACAATCGCAGTCTCTGCATGAGTCACACTTTGACTCCAACTCCAGTTTCGAGGCCCCAACTCTCGCTTCTTTTTGAGTCATGGACTTGCTGGCGGGTGGATGGTCCTAAACTTTTGAACCCAGAGAAGAAAGAGGCCTTTTGTTTATGCCCCGAACTGCAGCATCTTCACCGCCGCGACACGATAACGTGTCTTTTACCGCTCCACTCACCTACAACCGAGGTAAGCCTCAGATTTTTCCTTCATTTTGTTTTAATCGTATTATTTGGGCCACACGTTTTATGGATGATCGAATTTATTAAGGTTTTCCATGGAATCGAAGGGGTTTTTTCGGTGCTCGATTTTCGGTTTTGTAGGGTTTGCGCATGCGCACGCGTTCCGTTGGCGTTTCCGCCTTTACAGGCTGACTCATAAATCTCCAATCTCAAGATCTGCAATGGCAGCGAATAGGAACCATGGCCACAGACTCCAAGACGGGTCTTCGGTCCATCGTATTATATGGTTCTGGTCTATTATCTAAGCGGCAAGATGATTGGGACTTTTCCTTATACCGCTGCTTGCATTTGTCACTTGAACTGAGGTAAATCTGTCTGTGCACAGGGTGATTCGGGCGAGCAAATCCGAGTCTTGAGAAGAGAATCTCGAGAGAGAGACGTCGTTTACCTGCTCGCCAAGACATTTACCTGTTTGGCCTACTACAAGACAAACTCCCCCGTTTTCGAGTTCGGATTCGGTTGGGTTTTCGTTTGGGTTCGGGTTTCTCGGGTTTGCTCAGGTGAGTTCGCTGCGCTGTTGATATAACTGAAGTTCTTGTTCCCCTGCCAAGCCAAACCAAAACCAGTTTCTCCCAATCCCGAGAGCCGCTCTCTTGGCCAAACACATCTCTCTCTCTCTTCTGGCCATCCGAAAGCCAAGCGGCCAAACGAGTTTCAGTCGCGAGGCAAATTTCCCAGTCGGCGGACGTGTTTTAATCGGCGGACCCACAAGTCCCATCTAGAATCGAATCTCAGAGGTAGAAACCAGAGTGAAGAATTGCGCGCGCGGCAAAAAATATGAACGCTGATTCCTAACAAGTTCGAAAAAAAAAAAACTATTTTTTTCTGGTGCCTGCAAAAAAGCAGAAATACAAACAAAGTTGTTCCCGAGCTGTGCTAAAATCAAGATAAATCATTGGAATACCTCTTTATACACGAAACAAAAAATGTTTGCGTAAGTTGAAAACTTAAACAAAAGCTCCAGCAGAACTCGGGATTTTTGGCCAGTCTTTTGGGTTTGTTTGGTTTTGGTTATTGGTTATTTGAGAAGTCAAACAAAGGAGTTCGAGATTTGATATTTTAGTCTCTAACGACAGATCGCAGTTCACATGGAATTACCTGTTTTCTTTTTGTTTTTCGGCTATTGATTCTTTTTGAAATTCGACGAGCATGTGGGTCCGGTCCGCATCAAAAATCATAGCGGTCCAAATGGCTTAAGACCGCCAACCGCCAACTTGTTTTTTCCTCGCCTTTTGTGAAGATCTTTTGGTATGTAAATGCCTGGCAGCCCGCAGCCTTCGTGGAAACCTGCTACGAACAGGTACAGTGGGCACTCGCCTAATGCATTTATGCTGCTTATTAGAGATTAATCTGTGCGCCGCACGCAGGCTCTCCTCCTCCTTCCTTATATGCGCCATATATATTTATTTCCCAAGACCTCAAGACCCGTGGGCCCGGGTTTCCCTAGGGAAAGTCCAAGTCCAGGGAATCACGCGATCTTTAAGTGCGATTTCTTACCGCTCACCCGAAAGGGGAGTGTTTTTCAGTTAGAGTTTTCAATTTGCATGGACACTTTGCTCTATACTCCACTCCACTCCACTCCCCCAATTGAAATGCAGGCCATCAACCCAAAGTTGGGTTCCCTCCTTCGACCCAAGCCATATGTCACTAGCCCACATCATCATCATCATCGTCGTCAATATTATTATCATGGCCATCAGAATGCCGCGACTTCTTCTTCGTCTTCGTCTTGGTCTTTTCTGCCCCAGTCGAATATTAAGCGGCAGATTTGTGTATTTATGGTTAATTCTTGGGCCTCTGACGCCTGCCTGGCATATGTAAATATGCGAGCAGAGAAATATAGCTATTAAACAGTCGCCTCACGTGCGGAAATCACTGCTACAGGTTGCTACCCCTACACTCCCCCTTCTTCAGCTTTCTATGCAGAGGAAAACTCTTTAAAAAAGCCTAGACTTTGAATATGACAAGGTTTTATACTCAATCTCAGGATATGTTTTTCATATTACTTGGGACTCCTATAATTGTTAGTTTCTAAAATTTTACAGTTCCTTTTTCTGTAAAGAAACCTGTTTCCCTATTGTTTCCAATCTCAGTCCCAAAAACTCAGTAATATTTCTTGCCATGTACCTTCTTTTTCTATGCCTCATTTATCTGCCTGCCATCGCTGTTTTCGCTGCTTGATTCTTGAGACATCTGCAACATGGGTTGCAAGTTGCTAGTTGCTGGTGGCAGGTTGCAGGTTGCTGGTGGGCCGTTGCACGTGTGTTGTTCCCACATTTGGCCCGATGGCCCAGGTAGACCGCTCTTTGTCTCAATCTGGCTGAGAAAAAGGTCAGTTCTTTGTTGCCGCTGTAATTGCGGAAGCAGATACTCAGATACACAGATACAGATACATTCGGTTAAAGCCAGCGTTTAGGCCCCCGCTTCTGGCTTAACAATTAAAGCCCATAAATCATCAAGTTTGCAAAAAGAATAATAATACAAAACACAAAAAAAAACAACAACAGAAGCCAGCAGACAGCAGCAATAATAAGAAGTAATAATAATAAATGAAAACATTTAGCTGCAGGCCAACTTGTTTTGCATTTGAGCAACAGCTCTCCAAAGCTCTCTAAATGTTTCTGTATCTCAATCTCTATCTCTAACTTTGGTCGGTGTGTATCTGTAGTAAAGGTGTGCAAAGCTAAAGCCAAAGCCAAAGTCCCAAAGCCCCGATCTATAAATAGTGTCGGTTGGGGTGTCTCAAGGACTGCCAGTTCGGTTTCCCCGCCAAGTGTCGCCTCATCGGATCTCGGGTCTCGAGACTCGAGACTCAATACTCGGCTCTCAAATCAAAGGCGAGCGAAAAACGAAAGAGCAAATCAAACTCGAGACATGATCCACAAAATGGAGGGCAAAAAATCAGGCTATTGCAATGCAATGTATTTTGTATTTCTTTGGAAAATAAATATAAATGTTGATAGATCTAAAAGTCGTCATTATTTGGTTAAGTAATGGGTAGAATACAAAAATCCCCGGTTTAATATCATTTTAATTCCGTTGAGTAGCTGAATTCCTCTGAAATCATTTAGTTTACCACACAATTAGCGGGGAATCTTCATGTTCATCTCATTTCACGATCAATCTCCCTTGGGCTTTTGCAGTTGCGCACTTGGCCAATTGCAAATCGTTGGCCAATTGCTGGCTAATTACATGGCCTAAATGATTCGCCAACTTCCACTTTTCCCTGTGTGTGGCAACAGTTTGGTCCAGTGGTTTGGTGGCCCAAAAGCCCAAAAGCGGGAATTAAAGAGCGTGACTATGGATTTTGTGCCCCCGGACTAATTAGCATGCAACTGTTTTGTCCAATGAATGTGCAATTATACAACAACAACTACGACTACAACAACAACTGAGGGCAGGGGCAGGAACCTCCGCTGCACTTTACCTGGAAAAACCACTAAAACTGGAAATCAGTGAGTTTTCCCTGTCCGAACTTCCGCTCGCCAACAGCGGCTTTTCCGCTTATTAAACATTTTTTATGTTTCGGCCCATAAAATCCAGAATTGTCACCCAAAGTGCATTTGACTCCAGTGGAGTGTTTCAATGCACTAAAAACTATGCCTTTATGGCTTTTAGATTATTTATATTTTTTTCAGGGATTTTACATGGGGTTTTTCGTATACCAATCGATTGTAAATTCACTTTGTTTGCTATTCATTGCCTGTTTCTTCTGTATCTTTTGTACATATATTTTGTGTGTGTTTTTCCCCTACTTGAACTTGAACACTCACTCATGCAGCAGAGTGTAGGCAAACTGCAAACTGATGAACTCACAACTCAAACTTACCTTTCCCCGGAATTCCCGCCCTTTTCTCGTACTCGTTCTCCTTCTCGAAACTCAAACAGTTGACAAGTGTTAATTGTTCCGATTCCCAGTTCCCAATTCGATTCCAAGTATTGCGTGTGCAAAGCTGATATTTTCTCGTATTTTTGCATATACTTATTGGGACTTGACTATATGTGCATTCAGTCACTTGAAAAATATGCAATAAATCTTTAATTGAATTAAAAATATTTTTAAGTGCTTGAAAAATGCTAATGATCGTGATAGATCAAGACCACTTGGGATAATTTCCGAATTAATTATACATTTCTTACTCTAAGGGATCATATATTTTTCGATATTTCGTTCTGTGCATATATATCAGTCTGCATTTTAGGCCGACGACTCATTGTTCGTGTCGGGTTGCCGTTGCTTTGGGCCAAACAATTGTAATTGACAGCAGAAACGGCAAAAGGCGTTTACAGATCTCAGCCATATGTCGCATATGGCGTCATTCTGGAACCCCAACCCCTCGAGACCCCTCGAGATCCCCCCGTAACTCCATTTCGACCTGCACTGGAGCCCCGGGTCTCGGGTTCTATCGAGTGGCACTTTATTTTCAAGGCGTCAGCGGTTGTCAGGCGGCAACATTAGACCGCTTTACTTACCGCTTACCGCTTACCACTTACCGCTGCACATGCAATTTGCTGTTTTAGGTTTTCTGTTTTTTTAGTTTTGCTGAATCGACTGACTTTTCTGGGGCTGGAGAACTTTGTTTGTCTCGATGGATTATGGACCGGTTTGCTGGCGAAACTTTCGATTGGCCGCAAATGAGGTCGAGAGCAGGCCAAAAGCGAAAGTCAAGTCCAGTCCAGTTGAGCTGAGTTCAGGCTTAGGGTGTGCCAAATGATGGTCCGAGTCCCAGTCGCATTAAAACCTGTCGCAGCTGTTATCGATCCAATGCAATGTCAGGTACAAAACCATTAAACTTCCTCTTTAATTGCTGGGGGTTGCAGGTTGCAGTTTCTCGCTTTTGGGGGCTGACTTTGCACTTTTCTCCGCACTTCCGCTGGCTGACTTCCCCTGTTTTTCGTGCTGACTAGAGACTTAACACCCCAAACTGGCCAAAAAAAAAAACCAAACAGAAAGAGGAAAAAGCTAAGCAATTTCTTAAAACCATTTCCACAGTGACATGTTGGTAGTGAGAAGGCACTAGGCTCTGATTACCATTACCGGACGACAGCAAGATGATCAAGTTCCGCTACAAGAGGAAGGAACCCACCAATTTGGTGGTGACTCCAGCAGAAGGAGGAGGAGGATCGCCAAGTGCCCCGGGAACCACAGTTGCCCCAGCTGGAGTTGTAACCTCCCCTATTACCGTGCCCGTGCAGATGCACCACCCCCAACTGAGCCACCTGATCAGCAACAATGGAGGCACTCTGCCCAGGAGCAGTCCCCGGAAACTCAACCTGGATGGAGGCGACAAGTCGGCCACCTTGACCCGCCAGCAGTCCAAGCAGAAGTCGGTCAGTGCTTTGGCCAAGGTGGCCAGCAGCGTGGAGTTGGCCGTAATGGGCTACAATGGCAACGGGAATAGCATGAACGGCATCAACATGGCGGGAAACTCGGAAAGGGATCGGTGCATCAATGCGGTTATCGTAAGTCCGGGGAATACCTGAAAATATAGTTTAAGATGTAAATTTATAGCAATGATAATTGTAGGAAATGCTAAATATTTAATATGATGTTAAATTACATATTACACATATAGTTTAAGATATGAATTTATAGATATGATAATTGTAGGAAATGCTAAATATTTATTACATGATATTATTTTACATATTACACATATAGTTTAAGATATGAATTTATAGATATGATAATTGTAGGAAATGCTAAATATTTATTATATGAATTTTACATATTACACGTACTTAGCCGATAGCTTAAAAATAAGTTTTGGTATAAGAAAGTCAGATAAGATTATCAGCGAATCACTCAGCAAAGTCTTACTAGATTTTACTAATTTTTTACGAAGATTAAGATAGATTTTCTAACCATTTGATATCTCCTTCTATCCAAAAACAGGAACTCTTCCAGCAGCTGCAGACCAGTTCGGAACCGGCCTTGTGTCCGGAGCCACTGCGTCGAGCTTTGGCCAGTGGTCCGCTGGCAGGACGACGCTTCCCCCTTGGATGCCTGGGCGATGCCGCAGAGTGCTTCGAGCTCCTGCTGCACCGCGTCCACTCGCACATCTCGCCGGATGACGGCGACTCCTGCGAGTCCTCCGCCTGCATTGCCCACCGAAGGTTCGCCATGCGCGTCATCGAGCAGAGCGTCTGCAAGTGCGGAGCCAACTCCGAGCAGCTGCCCTTCACCCAGGTGAGTTTTCTATATCCTATATCTCCTGTTTTTACCAAAGGAACCACATGATAATTAGAATAAAATATTCACAACGCGAAACAATGAAGATCAAACGATTATTAGCGGAAGAGATGAAAAGTTCTTAAATATGTATTTTGAACACTCACCCGACTGGTTTCTCTGTTTTTGTTCCACTTTCGCCTACAATTTGCATTATTATTAGCCAACCTAATGAGCCTGATTTATATTTGGCAGTGAGCTTAGCTTAGATCTAAACATAGCTAAAATTAACTTGAGATTTAGTGGGGATTTTGATCTTTAAAACCTAGAAATATCCGAACTTTTGAAAAGTATATTTATAGATATTTTAAAGAGAGACTACTCCTGAACTTTTCTCCAAGTGTACACGACAACCCGTTTGGTGCCATGGACCGCAGATCGCATATCTCAGATACGATCGTTTGGTGATCGAATCAGAGCCAAACTCGTGGCGTGGGTTCCAGTTTGCCAGCAGAACAGAACACCTGCAACATTCGATGTTGCACTTGCCGTCGCTCGTGTGTTTTGTGTCTTGAATGTCTTTTGTCTCTGCGTCCGAACAGAACAGTTAGCCGGGCAAACGGGTTATTGGTTATTGCACATGCAGATGGGTCCCTTAAAAGGGGTACCATACATACGGATAGACACAAGATTAATCTCAAGCTGACGTCAGAGGTAGTAGAAGGTGTAGCTTTGCAGTGGGCGTTTCACTTCCGTCTTGACCATATTCCGCAGTTGGCTAATTGACTTCTGATCTCCGATCTCCGATCTCCGCTCTCCCACAGATGGTCCACTACGTCTCCGCCTCGGCCTTGACCTCCCAGAAGAGTCTGGCCCTGCAGTCGCACCAGCAGCTGAGTTTCGGCCAACTTCTGAGGGCCGCCGGCAACATGGGCGACATACGCGATTGTCCGGTGAGTACTACATTCTATAAACTAGTATATAGAAGCACCTTAACCTTACTAACTATGTATTTTATGCAAACAGAACACCTGTGGCGCCAAGATCGGCATATGCCGTGCCCTGCTCAACCGTCCGGATGTGGTGTCCATCGGCATTGTTTGGGACTCGGAGCGACCGGCCGCCGACCAGGTGCACGCCGTCCTGAAGGCCGTGGGCACCAGTCTGCGGCTGGGCGACGTCTTCCATCAGGTCAGCGAGCAGCGGTGGGCCCAGCAGACGCAGCACGAGCTGGTGGGGATCGTCTCCTACTACGGCAAGCACTACACCACCTTCTTCTTCCACACGAAGCTCAAGGTGTGGGTGTATTTCGACGACGCGAACGTCAAGGAGGTGGGTCCCAGCTGGGAGGGCGTGGTGGACAAGTGCAGCCGAGGCAGATACCAGCCCCTGTTGCTCCTCTACGCGGTTCCCCAGCAGGGGGAGGAGTCGGAGGAGGAGTTCCGGATGCAGTGACCATTCCAACGAGTGCCCCGGTGATTCGTCGCGCCGTGACTCCCAGTCCCGAGAAGCCCAGTTTGGGCAGCACCCGACGGGCCATTACCCCCACGCCCCTGAGGACGCCGCCCATGCCCACCAACGATTACCAGAACCTGAGTGTCATCCAGAAGAGCATCTTTCCGGGCTACCTGATGAGCAGCGACGAGACGGACGCCTACATCAGTAGGAAGACGGTGGAGCATGTGCTGAGTGCCCAGTACCAGAATCTGAGTGTGATCCAGGACAAGATAGTAGCTCCTCCAGGAGGAGCAACACCAGCTAACCAACAAAATGCCGACAAGGATGGAGGCTTCCTCAGCCGCAAGCCCATCGAGGCGGTGCTGAGTGCCCAGCTGGCCAGGCGGCAGCACCTGCAGCTGCAGCGCAGCCACAGTGCGGAGTCCAGTTCGGGCCACGCCTCCTCCTCCAACGGGAGCAGCCCGCCCAGCGATGGGCTCACCATGCCGGAGCACCTCAACCAGCCGCGTCGTCGGGACTCGGGCAACTGGTCGGGGGATCGGAACAGCGCCAGTTCGGCCAGCTCCACCACCCTGGACAATCCCTATCTGTACATGGTGGCCAAGAGGGGCGTGGCAGCGGTGCCGCAGAGTCCCACGCGACACGGGCTGCCCTACGATCCCGGCTACGACTCCTTCTCGCTCAGCTCCACGGACTCGTATCCGCCGAAGCACGCCCTTAACCCGCAGCTGGCCAAGATTCCCGAGGCGGCCATGGGTGCAATGGTGCCAAATGTAGTGCCCCATGGACATGGTCAGCTGGCCCTGTCGGGGGACTGCGAGAAGCTCTGCCACGAGGCGGATCAGCTGCTGGAGAAGTCGCGACTGGTGGAGGAGTCGCACGACCTGGAGACGGCACTCGTCCTCTGCAATGCGGCCGCCGGAAGGGCGAGGGCGGCCATGGATGCGCCGTACAGCAATCCGCACACCATGACCTTTGCCCGGATGAAGCACAACACGTGCGTGATGCGGGCGAGGAGCCTGCACCGCCGCATTCTGGTGGAGAAGGGGGCGGAGACGGAGGCCATGCCGGAACTGAAGCACATGCGGGAGGGCAGCACCAGCAGCGTGAAGCATGTGCGCCAGAACAGCAAGGATCGCACGCTGGAGAAGGAGCAGCAGTTGCAGCAGCAGCAGTTGCAGTTCCAGCAGCTGCAGCAGCAGATCCCCGCCAGCATCGAGATCTATGCCACGCTGCCCAAGCGCAAAAGTCCCCTGAAGACGCTGGCCTCCTCGGCGGCCGCCTGCGACGACAATGCCATCGAGTACGAGCAGCAGGTGACCACCACCAGTAGTCCCGGGAAGCCGGAGCGGGAGAGTCGCTCGCTGTTCGGCCGGAAGGACAAGGACAAGGAGAAGGAGAAGCGCAGTCGCAGCGAGGATCGCAACAAGCTGACCCGCGAGTTCTCGCTCACCGAGACGCTGCTCGTCAATGCCAAGGATACGCTGAAGAAGCACAAGGAGGACAAGGACGAGAAGAAGGAGAAGGACAAGAGCGGCAAGAAGCAGCACAAGATCAGGCGCAAGCTCCTGATGGGCGGCCTCATCCGGCGCAAGAACCGCTCCATGCCCGATCTCACCGAGGCGGTGGACGACGGAGTGGCCTCCAGTGGGAACCACCACCATCTGCCGCACTACTCCACCAACCAAGGGGGAGTGACCACGGCGGCGGGCACCCTTCTAGGCAGCTCCGTGGACGACAGTGCCGTGGGTCTGGGCAAGCATGGCCAGCACGGCATGAGTGGCTACATCTCCGAGGGCCACTTTGACTACCCGGGCTCGAGTTCCGCGAGCGGAGGAGGCAGCAATGCTGGCAGCAATCCCAATCCGAATCTCGAGCGGAGCAAGCTGATGCGCAAGAGCTTCCATGGCAGCGGCAGGCAGTTGACTATGGTGCCCAAGGTGGCGCCACCGCCGCCCATGCGCACCAGCTCCACCCTGACCCCCCCAGCAGCAGCAGCAGTTCCACCACGAGGCCAACCTGTCCAATCTCTCGGCTATGAGCTCGAACACCTCGATCAGCGAGGACTCCTGCCAGACGATCATCACCACCTGCGCCCAGGTTCACTCGGAGCAGAGTCCGCTGAAGGATCTGCAAATGCTGCAGTCTGCCGTTGGCCAGGATGAGCTGCCCCTGCCGCTGCCGCCCATGGAACTGCCTCCGTACCCCAGTCCGCCGCACTCCGCCTGCCACTCGCGGCAGGCCAGCGAGGATTTCCCGCCGCCACCGCCGCCCGAATTGGACCTGGAACCCCTCAACCAGCAGCTCAGCCAGCTGCAGGCCCTCGAGGCGGCCAGCAAGCACCAGCGCCAGCAGCTGGACTCCCTGGAGGGCACCACCAGCATCCTGGCCCAGCTGCAGCAGCGCCAGCATCTGCTCAAGCTGCGCAAGGAGCAGCAGGCCAGCCACCCGGTGGACGCCAACTGGCTGAAGGAGCTGCAGGCCAAGCAGGCCAGCGATCTGCGGGCCATGCAGCGCAAGCTGGAGGCCTCTTCGCCGTCGAGTGTCCGGGATCTGGCCCACCGCTTCGAGCAGACCTCCATTCGATCCTACGCCTCGCAGGAGCTGCTCTCCCAGGCGGGAGGACAGCCGGTGGGTCAGCTGCGCACCCAGATGAACGGACTGCCCAGTGGCGGGGCAGGGGCATCCAAGCTGGATGTGGATGAGGTGGACTCCATGCCGGCGGTGAGGAGCACCCACCAACTGCTGCCCAAGCCCAAGTACGAGATGAGCCAATCGCAGATCGCCGAGGAGATCCGCGAGGTGGAGCTGCTCAACACGATGGTGCAGCAGACACTCAACCAGAACGGAGTCGCTGCGCCACCCAAGCGGGTGAAGAAGAAGAGCGTCTCCTTCTGCGACCAGGTGATCCTGGTGGCCACCGCAGGGAACGAGGAGGACGACGACTTCATACCCAATCCCATACTGGAGCGGGTTCTCCGCACTGCCCAGCATCCCAACGAGAAGGTCACCGCCCAGATGATCCAGCAGCAGCAGCAGAATATGCTGCGCTTGCAAACGGAGGCGCAGCCGCGTCAGCAGTTGCAGCAGCAGCAGCAACAGTTGCAGCAGCAACTGCAACAGCAGCAGCAGCAGCCATCGCCCATGTTGGGCCAGCGACCAGCGGCAGCCGCAGCGGATATGCAGCGATATGTGCAGAGGATGCAACAGCAGCAGCAGCAGCAGCAACATCAGGAGCTGCTACGCCAGCAGCAGCAGCAGCAGCAGCAACAGCAGCAGCAGCAACATCGCACCAGCATGAGCGGCATAGCCAGCCAGCAGCACCTGCAGCAAATGGACGCACAGTACACCACCATGCCGCGTCCCCTGCACCATCCGCCACCTCAGCTGGGCAGCTACTCGGTGCACCTGCAGAAGCACCAGCAACTGCAGCAGCAGCAGCAGCAACAGTTGCAACAGCAGCAGCAGCAGCAACAGCAGGCCTACTTCAGCAACGGCAATGTGGCGACCACCGAGCAAGTGCCTTTGCCTTCGCCCTACCAGCGAGTGCCCCTGCCACATGGCTATCAACCAGCGGTGCAAGCAGCAACAGCTGGACCCTACTACCCACTGCCCAATGCCCAGCAGCATCAGCAGCAGCAGCAACAGCAGCAACAGCAGCAGCAGTTGCAGCTGCAACAGCAACAGCTGATGGCCAAGCCCGTGCAGAAGAAGGTGAGCTTTGAGCCGGGGACCAAGGGCGAAGCCGAGTGCCTGCCACCGCCGCCGCCGCAAAAGAATGGACTGCCCGAGCCGGCGGGATCACCAGGAGCACCATCGGGGGCAGCAGCCGGGCCCGGGGGCAACTCCTCGGCCGCCATCACCGCCATACCCACCCGCGTCTACAACAATGCCATCGTGAAGGCCTCGGCCAAGGCCGTCGAGTGCAACTTGTGCCGCAAGCGGCATGTGATCGCGCCGGCGGTTTACTGCACCAACTGCGAGTACTACCTGCAGATGCTGAACCAGCGCAGATGATGATGACGACCCTGGTTGTGGACCGTCTCTAGTGCAACTTTCTAGCCGTACATGGAACCCGTTAATCTCAAGCAATGCAATGCTGCCACGTCGCCAATAAGGATCCGCCAAGGATGTACATAGCATGGTTACAAATACGTAGGTCTAAGGACGAAGGGCTGGCGGGCGACTCGAGGATCGGGGCGGAACGCAGAAACGGAGGGGGAACACGCACAGTCCTTCTATGGTTCCACATGAGAAGCTCCCGCTGTGGCACACAACCCACCCACCACTCACCACCCACTCATCCATCCATGTCCATGTCCCCAAGCACACGCACACAAGCATATTGTACACGCCCATCCACCGCCTACACATATACTTGCCCTGAGGCCCTCGACTGGGTTGTAAACGATGCAGCGGCAGATCGGCTGATCAGCTGATCAGCTGCTGCACCGTTTACAGCCTGCTCAGCGCCAACCGTCGCCCCATTGGACATCGATCGCTTGACTAAATGCATTCCCAGATACTAAAAACTAAAGCACCCGAAGCCCGGCCAGTCCTTCGTGTTCTTTTTTTTCCACAACGAATTTTAATTACATTTTTTACCTAAGCCTACCACATACGATTTATTCGCCAGCAGTTTGAAACTCAGTCGCTGAGCTTCCTTGTGCGTGCTGTTGTCCAACGACACACGCATTCCATTTTTTTTTAAATTTTTTTTTGTAATTCTTAATTTCAGACTAAGCATACATATTTTTTTAATTTCGTACTTAATTAGGCCTAACGTAAGCTTACTCTTTTGTGTCTTGTGCATTTAAACGATTCCGTGTATTTATAGTGTTAATACTACTTTTACAGTTTATACATTATTATATGAAGATTATATATTTTTATAATGACTTTTGAAAGAAGATTTATCTTTGCAGCATACGAGCAGCGAGAAAAGAGATGTCAAGCATCCACAAGAATGGTAAAGAATCATTTTTTCTAAATAAATAAATAAATACAAAACAAATTCGGTCTTTTTACTTTTGTGGTTGAAGTGTGGGCAAATAAAATGGCTAGAGTTCCTTTTTGGATTTTAATGTTATTTAACGAGTATTTTAAACAGAGCTCGTAAAAGAAAAGGTACCACTTGTGCTTGATGTGAGAAAAAGCCCCTCAAAAAGACCAACATTTTCGACAATTTTCATTTTTTTATAAGGGGGTTTTTTTGGGAAAAATGACAAAAAAAATAAAATGTCCAGGTTTAAATGCCAATCGTTTGGAAATTTAATAACGAGTTCAGAAAAGTATGACAATTATATTATATTTGCCAATCAGATAATGAAACATAAATAGAAGCAATGTAAGTTACAAGCTATATATTTCTTCTTTTATAATGCGTCAGCACACACAAATAATTAAAATATTTCAAACTACAAAAGTCGCAAAAAGTGTAAAATACAAGTGTAAACAATAAAATTGTTTTTATCTCAATAAAATCATTTGTTTGTGTCTCAGTGGTAAAATAAGTACATTTGTAGTGCATATTGTGTACATAGGGGTCATTCCCTCAAAGTTTTGGGACAGCAATATTAGGGAGAGTTTAAATAAAAAACACCAGCTGGGGAATTCAGTTCGGAGAATGCTTTTAAACTTTAAAATGTAAAGTGTTATAACTCGTTTTATTTATTACGTGCATGCATGTAAAAAACGTATTATTTATAGTAACCTTCACGACATAGCGGATACACACTCCTATCTAGCCGATACAACCTCCTGGTCTAGCGGACACACAATCCCAGTCGCAGCACTTCCAAATTGTTAGGAAACTTAACAGAGCTCTGTGAGGCCAAGTAAAACATAGCTGGAAAACGACTATAAATACGATTACGATTACGGCTTCGAGCTGCTCTTGTCTTGCCTCTTCAGTCGCGCCTCGAAGTGTTCTTTTGCAATAGATCCTTTATCTTTTCCTGAATCAGCTAAAGTTGGGCATCCAGTTTGGTTTGCATGGATATATCCTGATCTCTTATGTTCGTGTGGATTTCCTTCAGTTGGGTCTTCCGTTCGGAATTCGAGACAAAAAGTTGATCTTCCGTCGCATTTAGTCTTAACTCCAAGACGTCTTTTGTAATAGTCCTTCAAAGGGATTTTATGCCAGCATTTTAAAATTTTTTCCAACTTTTTCAACTTTGTCGAAGTATAGCTTCTAAACCAATGAATTGACATAAGATGCTGTGTATAAGAGGGCTTTCTATGACCTTTAAAATAAGTCTTTGATGGCCTAAATCGGTTTATCACAATATTGGTCGAGTCGATGTACAACCGCGAGCTAAGCCAGAAGAACGCCATATGGGGTTTAAATCGTATTGATGAGTACTTTAAGTACTTTAAATGCAGTTAAATTTGAAAGCCATAAAAATGTTGCACAGTGAAACATTATCCTTATAAAAAAAACCTCTCTCATTAGAGGCATACGCATTACCCATTGGGTCCATCGCGACATGTTACTCGCGATTGTTTTAGTTAAAGTTTGTATTTTTCAAATATCCCTTGAGGGAAATAACACCAATAATATGTCACAAGCGAAGACTATGATTTTGTTCACCTCAAGACTTGAGGTCCGACCGGGTTGTTATACGGTGTTTGCCTGTTTTTCAGCCCTATAAAATCAATTATTCCATGAGGAAGATATATATTGTACATTCTAGTACGTTTTAACCAAATGTGTATTTGATATAAAATATCTTCCAATTACTATTTATTCTTTTTCAGTGTATTATGTATGTATGTAGTATGTATTTCTTGGTTAGATTAATCACAGTACTCCAGTTCAAAAATGCATATAGATTTCATTCTTTTCGATTAGTATTGTCCATGATATTTTTACTCATGCAAGTAGTTTTGTAAATTTTTTTGTACTACCAGGTTTTGAAAACTGATTGGTTGTCAAGACATTACTTGATTTCGGTCGTCGTTTTTGTTTTAGAGCTTGTCAATTCCAATTTTCTTTGCAAACTTCATTTACTTGCACATTTGTTGATTCTGAATTGTTTATAAATTTCTTTTCATTTTTTATTTCAATCATAATGTTTGACAATCGAAATCGACAGAAGTGCAACCTGCACTTATTTTTCCCAAGCCCAATAAAATAAAGTTGTGTTTCACTCAGTTTATTTATCTTGTTTAATTTAGCAGTTCAAGAAAAGATTTAATATTTCACCTGAGTCCCAAGCCGATTCTCAAAGAAATGCACATAGAATTCAGATTGTTGGGCTCCACAGAATAAATATCATTTATTTCTTTGTGAATCGGCTCAGGCGTATAACGGTTCCTTTATACTCTTTTTAATTCTTTGGGCCCTTGGTGAAGATTCGTATAACGTTTCCACACATTTTTCATTTACTTGCATTTTCTTTTTTTTTGTGTGTTTATTTCATTTAGAATACATCTTTTCAAGAACTGCGTAGAACGTTGACCAGCAAGTATTCATACTTTGTTAGTATTGTTAGTAAATGTGTCTTTGCTTTTTTCTCTTTTTTTAGTTATCTTTTTGAACCGTAATCAAAGCGTTTGCTTTCAAAAGCGTTCATGATATTTATGTTCTGCGCAATTCTTAAATATTTTCTTTGTTCCTGTTTCGGAAAACGTTTCAAAGTTGCGCTCACCGAAACAAGAACTGAGATTAGTAGTGTCTGGTGATTAGGGTTTTAAATGGGTTTTAGGAGTTATGTGAAAGCAGAGGGCATGCACAGCTGGTAAAGAATGGATTGGGATTGTGGCAACTCAAGTTACTGGGGTAAAACACACATAAATGAAACGATGGGGAAACTGGACTTCAGGACTGATCGGGAATTCTGAAAAAAGAAGGGGTTAGTTTCTCGAACGGACAAAAACAAACAGAATCTCCTCCAGGGCGGATCTGAAAGTTAAGTTAGGTTAAGTACAGTGTGGTTAATAATATCTTCTCTTGTGTTTGGCGTAGCTTCTTGGCTGTGGCCTCAGTGGGAGAAGGACTGGACTTCGTAGGCTCTATTTGCACCTGCTTGCATATCAAGTTCAGGAGAAAGCAATAGCTTCTATGGGGTTCCCTAGGCCGAAGGACATTTTCAGAAAAGTGGTTCTAATGACCAGAAGTAAGGGACTAAGCACAATGTTCCGGCTCAAGCAAGTCACCAACGGGATGAAGATGACTTTTGAATGGAAATGGAAGCTCAAGTTCAAGGATTAGCCAGCGAATGTTTAGGAAGCTATTTTGAAAAAGTGCTAGAAATCGCCTCGAATGCGAATCTAAACTGAAAAACAATTGAAAACTTTGGCTCCGCGAGGCTCCAAGTTTCGTCTCTGTTCAAAACTCATCTGAAAGAACACAGCATAGAAATAGGTTAATAATCAAGGCCAATAGAATAATAGCTTTTGCTTAATTCCCCGGTGGAAGCGCTTTGCCGGTGCCCAGTAGAAGGAATTTTGTTTTTTTTTAAACAAGCTTTGTCCTAAGTTTAGCGAATATTCTTGGTCATTTGCAAATCAACTGCAGGTCAAACGATTGACCAGCATTTAATTCGCTTTTTTATATTTCTTTTGCGTTTCAAAACGCACGATAAACTCGAGCACTTCGTGTTCATTTTTCAACGCATTTTTAGTTTTCTTTTTTCGCTTAACTTCTGACCAGCTTGTAAAGCATTTCCATATTGGTTTTTTTAACTTTTTTTTTTTATAGGTTTTTTATACAGGCCTTACCTGGCCTGTCTTCTCTAGATGGGCACCTACTTAACGCTTTCCAAGGATCGAAGACAAAAACTCACCTCCTGGCAGTTAATTTAAGGGCTTTTTCAGCTAATAAACTGATTAATTGGCTGCAAGCAATATTTCGGTTAGTTGAAAACCAACGTAAAAAACTAAAGCAAAAGCAAAATGCCGCTCTTGGGCGATTTCTAGGCACTGGTTTTATGATTTATCAGTGGAATAGTTGAGCTAGGCTAATTCTTGAGTTGTTTCCCATTTATTTTGTGGCTGTGGTGATGAGTTCGTTTTGTGGCCCAGCTTGAGTTTTTCAACAGTGCTGGATTATACGAGAATTAATAGGTAATATATCCCTTAGCCGATGGGAATCCATTTTGGGCCTTCTTGCTCACATTGAGAACCTATGCAGAGGCAGTATCTTCTGGGCGTAGCTTCGTGGCTTTGGGATCTAGTGAAATGGCGGCGTGGCATCTGATTCTGTTTCTGATTCTACAGGTCCCTACATCTAGCAACCCGGTTCGTAAAATCCCCCTGAATACTGACGAGTTCCTAGGGCAGTGATAACTTCAAGGATAAGCAAATATTTAGGCCATCAAGACACTACAATATCTCTTTGTGCAGACCAGAAATGGACTTGATGGACTGTGAAGTGGGTGAACGTTACGATGACACTTTTTGGGCTTTAAAAGAGCGCATAGCTCTTGCTTTCATAGTTTTTGGTTGGGTTTATACAGCTGCCTGGGCAGTTAGTAATTTATCCTGATTCTACACATCTGGCCGATTAATTCTTCCGGATTTGGCTGGTCTCTTCAGTGCGGAGCGCTAGTCGTGAGTGCGGTTTGTGCTTTGAGCTCGCCGAGGGATGCCCCTTAGTTATACACATCTTTCGATGCGTTCTTTAGTGTTTATAGGGCTTATATTGCTTCACCGCTCTCTTTCGGGCCCTGCAATCCGCCCTATGGCCGTCTCGCTCGCCCGCTTGCGATGCAAACGCCTGGCCAGCGCGTAAGAGAGAGGGATGGAGAGAGGGAGCCGTCTCTCCTTGTCTACAGTATTGTCGTCTCGCTCGCATCCGCGTACCGCCACTTGCGACCGATAGAGGTATGCGTACGCGTCTTCTCGGAACGCAAGTGGCGCCATGCGAACGCTCTGGGGATTTTCTTGGTTCTTTGCTCTTTCGCTCCGGTCAGACTTTTCCATCGCAAGCGTTATCGTTTCATTTCGTTCCACCAAGGGGAGTGATCCTCCTCCTTGTGTGTCGGTTGGGCCATAGGGTCTGCACCTAGGACTGCAGGGTTGGGTTTATATGGGCCCGTCCGCTCCGCTTGCCGCCGCACAAGGTGCACCACTCGTACCGCAGACGCTCTTCGAGGCAGCCGCGTCTTCTCGATGCCTCAAAGACGACGCCACCCGGAAGAATTGCAGCTCAGGCGGAGAATCTCATAATGCTTGAAGATTTCACTGTCGTTCTTTATAGCTTGATGATTCAATGGGGACGATTACTGGACTTGAAGCTGTGTGGTACTGGTCGCAGATATTGCGGGGGAAGTGTGGTTTCTAAGTTGGGGCTGGGAAGGCCCAGAAGAAGTTGCCGCTGCCCGATGGAACACATCCCGGTCGTGTTGCGTTGGGTCTGCTGTGTAAGTCACTCTCTAAGCTGATTTCACCTCTAAAAAAAATTTGGCACTTTAAAAAAATTCTTTAAAAAAAATAATGCACACTTTGAACTCTTACGAGAAGAGTTCCTCACAAGAAGTTTCCACTAGGCCATGCCGCCGACGACTGATGATCTCCGTAGCGGCGGTGGCAAGAATGTAGCCTCGGTTTCCTCGATTTCTCGCCTACCTGAGCCCAGTCCAACCCCTATAAGCCATTTGGGTTCGGTTCCCAGGGGTTTATTGTTCGTAGTCCTCAAGGCTACGGTCTGGTTTTCGGAATGCAGCAGCTGCAGGCACGATTTCCTCGTATCTTCTGTGCATATGTGCCTGGGTTTGCATTCTAAATGGCTTCTTTGGAATTTTCTGCAGTGCTGGCAATGCCGTTCCATAAATTTTCCTTTACACGCCGCTTTTGCGTTGGTGAAATAACCCGAATTATGCAATTTAACGTATTACATTCGGTGGATCCACGTTTTTACTATCTAGCTAGCTGTGTTTTAGGTTTTTAGTGATTGTTTTCATTTTGAAAAAATAAGAATTTAACGGAGAGGCCCTGTAACTACAACTTATCTTCGGTGACTACGCACATTGAATGCGGTCGGCGAAAAAACGACGGCCATTGGGGGCTGGGGCTGCCACTTGTCCGAAAAGGGGGGCTATCCCTCATTTAAACTACGCCCCTGGCTTCTAGTATCTGCAGAATTTTCGCGAACGCTGCCCCGGCCCACAGCTAAAATTACTTACAATTGTTCAATATTTGGCTTACAAACACCCATAAACACTGGTTTAACTAGTTAACTTTAACCGATCACTTTTAATTTCACTTCATTGGCAATTTTCAACTTCAAAGATAGACATTCTAACAGATACAGCGCACTTTGGCAGCCCACCACTGTATCTTTTTCCAGCGAGGTGGCAACCCCAAGCCAACTGCAGTACTGTTAACCGGAAATTAACAGTGGTCGACTAACAGCAAATGTTGGACTCAACTCAAATTCAAAATGTAACTAAGTCTATTTAAATAATATTATCTAAATATCTTTAGTCACTAAATATCAAAACACCATGTCTATAATAAAACGTATAAAATGTATTTACATAACAATTGGGTAAAAAAAATGCATATACAGAATACTCGTACAAACGAACGTATTTACAGCCGACTAAACAAATAAATGCGAACAAATAAAATAAATACAAGAGTTTTGGCTACGACTAATGAGGGGGAAAAATGAGGGTTTATGGATGTGGGTTTCCCTTTGGATTAGGCCTCCGAGAAATCGTTATCGTAGGCGTGATTGCGATACGCCCCGTAGCCCAGTTCGGCCTCCAAGCCGCCGCCGGTTCTTCGCTGGGGTGTCTCGATGGCCCGGGGCCTTGTCTGCATCACATCCTCGCTCCTCGGCTCGTTGGCATCGTCCTCCTCGAGGTCCTCGCTCTGGTCCTTGTACTGATAGCTGCGGGCCAGCCACAGGAAGATGAGCATATCCACCAGCATGAGGCTGGCGAAGAGGGTGAACTCGCCGGACTGCGAGCTGGTGAACTTGAACTCGGCGATCACCACGACGATCATGTTGCCGATGGCCACCGAGAGCAGCCAGCAGGCCTGCAGGACGCTCTTCATGCTGGGCGGCGACTGGGAGTAGGAGAACTCCAGTCCGGTCACCGAGAACATCACCTCGGCGGCGGTCATGACCACAATCTGCGGCAGCTGCCACAGAATGGAGACGGCACTGGGTGGCACCACCTCGACTAGCTTGTATTGGTAGCCATCGCGGGCACTTCCGGCCACCAGGAGGCTGTACAGGCCGCCGCCTTTGGTCTCCAAGCTGGCCACCTTCTGGCCATTGATGTTCAGCTGCGAGTGGCCAGGTGTGATCCTGTACAGCTGCGATGCGTTGCGTGGGTCCAGGGATATGGGTGACTCCTTGGCCTCCAGCAGCTCGGCAGGTCCCTCGTTCTCCGGGGTGTTCAGCAGAGCCCTCACCGAGCTGCGACCAGTTTCGGTGGCTGCCAGGCTCTCCAGGCCATCGGCAAACTCCACCAGCTTGTTTTGGGCCAGCAGATAGCCCACGGATTTGCCCGGCTGCAAATGCAACTTGCCAGCGATGGGTGGACACTTTCCGGAGGAGGGCTTCCCCTGGAAAGCGTACTCCTTGGACTGGGCCAAACGCACCGATAGATCCTGCCACATTCCCAGAGACTCCACATGCCGCGGAGATGCCAAAGCTTCGCTGGTAATATCATAGCCACAGGGCATCCCATTGTAGATCCTCAGATGGGCCACATCCGGTTCCGTGGGCATGGCTCCCAAGGCGGCCTGTTCCATCTTCATCTCCAGCCCGGCCGACAAAAAGAATCCCAAGGCGGCTAAGAGCAGGCCAATGGTCAGCTTCTGCAGGGGTCTCCTAATCCCACAGCGGCGCAGAATCGGGTAGACGATGTAGTCGAAGAGCGGCAGGAAGCCGAGGATCAGCAGCGGATTGACCACCTGCATTTGGTCCGGTTTGATCTGGAAGCCCAGCACCATGCCGTCCATTCGGGTGGCCTGAAAGGTCCAGCGCGAGCCCTGCTGATCGAAGAGGGCCCAGAAGACGGGGAAGGGCAGGAAGAGGCGCAGAATCCTGCCCAGGCACTTGGTCTCCCGCACCATTCGCGTCCCCACCGTCGGCTTGGCGTAGTCCAGGAAGCTCTCCATGGGCTCCGAGTTCCTCCGCTTTCGCCAGCCCTTGAAGGCATCCGCGATGCAGCGCGACACCCCGAAGATCATGTTTCCAGCGGGTGGCTGACAACGATACAATCGCTTGCCGGCCATGAAGATCACCACCGAGATGATCATCAGGACGGCGGGAACGCCAAAGGCCAGCGAAAAGCAGTCCTGATCCCCAAAACAATGGACATCGGCTCTTAAAATAGGGGTAAATGTGGTCGAGATCAAGGATCCTGCGTTGATGGCAAAGTAGAAGAGCGAGAAGAACTTGGCCAGCTGGAGACTTTGGGCGGGCAGCGAGAATTGATCGCCGCCAAAGGCCGAGACGCAGGGCTTGATGCCTCCAGTTCCGATTGCTATCAGCAGGAGTCCAACGACGGTCACCGCTCTAGGGGGAAAAAAAAAATTATTCATATTAAAAGAGAATATATTACCGCCCTGGAATATATGTTGATTGATATATTATATTTGTTGTTTTTATATAGATATAATAAAAATATTATAATATTTAGAATTGGAAAATTTGAATATATTATGGAATATATGATATGATATGATTTATAGAAATAATAAAAATATTATAATATTTAGAAGAGAATATATGATGGAATATATGATATGATATGATATAATATATACATAGGTATTCACTCACTTGGTTGGCATTCCCGTGAGTGGAACAGCCCCAAAGGACACCACCATGGCTCCCAGGCTGTAGACCAGCGACAGATACAGAATCGTCTTGTACTTCCCCAGCCAGCCATCGGCGATCAGGGCTCCGATCAGCGGGAAGATATAGACCAGCATGGTGAACGTGTGAAAGAGCACCGTGGCGGTCTCCTCATTGTAGCCCAGTTTGTTTGTGAGATACAGCACCAAAATGGCTGGAAAATAGGGTAAATATTAGATATCAGGTAACTTTAACTTCACAGGATAAAAAACCACTCACTGCGCATTCCATAGTAGTTGAAGCGCTCACAGAACTCATTGCTGATGATGAAGGCCACCGACTTGGGATACGGAATGGCGGGGGCCTAGAAAAGAAGAAGAAGGGAAAAGAACCAGAGCCATTAAAACTATCGCGATCTAATTGTACCCGCTCATTTGCTTTATCAGATCGAAGCCCTATCTATCCGGCTTTCTTTATCGTTGGTCCCTCCATTGAGAATATGTCGTTTCATCGACTGACTTGGCAAATTTCCGACCCAAGTACGTCGCTAGAAATTCACACAACGCCCAAAGTCAAAGAGATTTGTTAGACATTCCATCGTAAAAACTTTCTACCCATTTGGCTAGTTAACTTTGTTTCAGTGCTCAAAATTGCTTTGTGTCCGACTTCTGAGGGTTCTGACACAAAGGAGAGCTTCATAAATTAACTCCTTTATGAGGCGGCTCCTAAAAGCTTGTAACTCTTAATCTGCCTATAATAGCCTCCAAATTATGAGTGACTTTGAGAAGTGACTGAGAAAAACGAGCCCTGCAAAAATGTTGTAGGTTTTTATATAGTTATTCTATGGACATTTATTATATAGCTTTCTTTATATAGTAAATAGGGAAGGTAATAGGGTAATATAAGTTTCTGGTTATTAAAATAAATAAATAACTTAGTGAAATATTATTTCAGGAGGCGTTTTCATAAGCTCCTATATCTAAAGTTCGATGTGTAAATTATTTAGAGGAAAATGATTAATAATTAGGGGGAACTTTTAATTGATCTTGGCTTGTGGGGAACTTTTGCAATGACATGATGAAATCTTTTGGCAAGGGTACTTCTGTATTCGGATACCCCTTTTTTTTTTTTTTTGGTTTTTCTATGCCTATTCTAATGGTAATGTCGCTTTTTGTCGTCACTACGTCTCGTTTTCATTTTGGCTTTCGATTTTTGTTGGATAGGTTTTGCTTTGTTTTGTTTTGCCTGGCTTTTTAGTTTTCTGTTTTTTGTTTTGATTTGCCGCGTCTCTTGGCCAAGGTGAGCAACGGAATGCAAACGGGTTTTCTCCTCCCCGGCCAATAGAGAGCCTCCATCAGTCAGTAAGTCAGTAAATCAGTAAGGCGGTAAGTGATCCATTGATGATTGAGAATTCTGCGCACACCACGGCCTAGGCCAACTGCCTCTGCTCCGCTTCTCCCCCAGCACTCCTCGCGCTTCGGAAGACTCACCGTTGCTGATTTGCAATTCTCCGGGGCAACAACTGCACTGCCAACAAATGCCATAACTATAACTGGCTTTATGTAACGCTCGAATCGGTCGGGGGTTTTTAGTTTTGACTCAAACTATAACTAACTTTGGCTTGGTTTTTGGCCAACTATCACTTTGCACTCCACTCTAGACGCCACTATTTGGATCCCCGGAGATCTGGAGATCTTGAGCTGTTGCTTGTCTATCGGAGACAACGTTCGGTATCGAACTAAGAATTCTACGGCGCTGGGCCCGCTTTAAAGCTTTAAAGTTCGATTTGCCACCCGTCTTTCTTCTCGCCCTTTCTTCCGCCCCCTGACACGCCCCCTCGCGGCAGTAACAGTTGTTAGGCGAAGGCAAATAAATTAGCAAACAATAGGAGATCGTTGGAGAGTGGCAAAGGGTTGGGATCGAACCGAACTTCGGGGGAAGATGGAGAGAGATCAGAGCTACAGCTGATAGTCTCAGAGGTGTCTAGACCTTATCGATGGGCATTCAGGGGAAGTCGGACGGACGGACGGGGGATCACAATGCTCGGGGTAAATGCATTCGCGTGGCCCGACCACCAAAGTGGGTCAGTATCGATCATACGCTCCTTTTTCCCAAGGGGTATACCAAAAATTAAACCCATAAAAAATGTAAATAAAATTGTAAAAATAAGATTTGCAATTATTAAGCAAAACTAATTAATTTAAATGATGGGTTTCATGCGACAAATTAAATATAATTGAAATAATAAATATTAAATTGGGCTTTATGGTTGACAGAAAACCGCTCATTAAATAACCCATTAGTACTGTTAGTTGCTATTTTTATAGGGTATTCATTGGCCTACCCTGTAGTAGAACTCAAAATCTCTTCGATTCTTGTTTTGATTCGCCTGACACTCGACTCGATTAATTCAATCAATTTGCGGGCAATAAAAGGATCTTGATTTGGTTTGCTTTTGGTTGACACACATTTCTCGATCACTGGGGGGCGTTCAAGGTCGACTGCGCTGCCATCGCGATCAATAGCCTTGGTGGCTGAAGAAAATAAAGAAAATGGAGACGAGACCGAAGAGAGGAGAAAGAAGCGGCCGAAGAAAAGTCATTGGAACTTGGAACTTGGCGGGTTCGCAGCTTCTTTTTCTTATTTTCTTTTTCTCGGCCGACCATTGCAAGTACACTAATGTGTGTGCCTTTGTGTGCACTGTACTTTCTCAATTGACAACTGAAAGTGATAAGTAGCTGTTCTCCGCTCTCTACTCTCCGCACACCGAAAGAAAAAGGGGTACGATATGATAATAGGTGTAAACTTATTATTATTGGATGAAAAATCAAATAAAACATTGAATATATTACGCAAGGATGTTGATTTTCTGAAACTCTATCCTAGTTTGGATAATTTCTAAGCTTTTCAAGAACTTTTTCTTTCTGTACATTCTTGTACCTCCTTTTTTTGTGGGATTTCTTCTGCCTGCCCTTTTAGGGCATTCCGTTTACCGTTCGCTTACAGCCTTAACCCTTTTCGACCACTTACCGCAATTTGGGCAGCGGGCTCCTCTTTCTGTCCGTTTTTACCGTTAGCTATTTGCTTTGCCATTTTGGCATTGGCTTGGTTCTGCTTTTTGCTTTTTGGTCACCTTTTAATTGCTCTTTAATGAGCTTCGCACAAAAGTCGCCGAATCGCTGGGCACTTTGGAATTTTATCGAAGTGCCCCCGAAAAATCGGAGAAACAGAATCACACACACAGAAAGCACACGTTTTGACAAAAAGGTTTTTTGCACTGATTTTGGTTTGCCAAAAAAAAAGTAAGTGAGTAAATAAAAGTACAAAAAACAGGTGGAAAAGAGGGGCTTTGGTGGGGGGTTGGCGGTGATCACCACGTTGACGCCATAAAACGATCGTCGTCGCTGGCCGACGATAAATGATGCTCTGTCCATTTGCAAGCTGCGCTTTTAAACGTGACTCGCAGTCGCCGCCAAAGTCGGCAGCGCAGTCGCGAAACAAACAGAAAAAAAGCACACACAAATCGAGCAAGAACAAAAATCAAATTAAATTTTTAGATAAACAGGTGGTTGTGGTGAAAGGGGGAGGGGAATGGTTTTGGCGATGGTGGAAGAGAGCCACAGCCAACTAAGCTTTAAGCTGCGCTCTCCACACCTCAAAAATTAAGTTTACACTGGCTTGGCCATTACAAAACTGTATTTTCCAGCCAATACGAGTTGCTAAAAACTTAGCAAGTCTCTTAATTAAATAGATAATTCCAAAATAAATAAGCCTGAGTATAATCATAATATTATGTATACATAGGTTAAACTACATTTATCTAGAATTGTATTGTCATTCAACTTAAACTTAATCAACATTTAACTGAAAATATTAATGTATCACAAAAAAGTATTCATTTATATTTTTTATAATTATTCTTTTTTATTTTCTCATTAGAAAAGGTGTTATTTACTGGGATAGAAATATACAAGCAACTAAAATTGATATACCATTGTCAAATTCTCTGGAAAAATAGTTTTTATCTTCTGTGTAGCTCTAACCCTCTCGCTCTCTCTTATTTCAGAGATCATTGCAGCTGCAGCGGCGTTCTTCGTTCTATTTTTATAGGGGTGTTCCCACCGCCTCTTCTCTTTGGTGGAGAGCTTTTGACAGTCAAGTTCAATGCTGATGGAGTGACGAAGCTCTGAATTAGTGGACACCCCACCGATTAGCATTATCGCTAGGAGTCCCATAATTGGATGGGGTGCAGCTGTATATTCACTGTTAATATTTTGTCAGCATGTTTTTCCAGTGATTTCGCAAGGAATGTATCCATATCTTTGGACACCAAATACCTGGAGTATGTTTACTTATCATTGAATTCGATTTTCCTGTTCATATCCAATTGTTGTGGCAACTGTTTGGCGGTTGTTACAGAAAATTTGTTCCGAGAAGTTATTTTTATCCTTATCTGATAGTTATGTTTTAGTTTCATTGGTACTGTTTTGTAATTAAAATCCCCTTTGGATGAGAATTTTTAGTTTCCTGTTTAACGAAGAACATTTAAGAACCCTTATTTCTATTAATTCTTAAAGAATAACTTTACCCCTAATGATTTTTAGAATACGTTCTTATCGCTAGTTGTTATCCCTGTCGTTTTCTTTTAGACTAAGCTAATAAACTGATAATTCCGGATCGATCCTATCTCGTTTCGATCCTATTCCTATCTGGCGATCGGACCCCTGGCCGTGCAAAATGGTCGAGTGCCAAGTGGCTGTTATCTCTGTTTGTTTTCTTTACGGCTTTGAGTAATTTGTGGGACTTTCCCAGGCAACCATAAATCTATCCAGCTGTAAAGATTTATGGTCCGCATTAGCAATGGTTTCGCTTCGAGATTACTGAGGTTTTTCACGAGAATGGAGTACCGCGGAGCGCCGTGCTATATCATTAAGTCGGGCGGTTGCGAAAGTATTTATGTATGCGGAATGTGTCAAAAGCGTTATTTCCTATTTCTTATTTCCTATATGTCAGCCTTACCTCTTCCAAATCGAAGGGCCCATCTTGGTTAAAGTGGACGCGCTCAAAGCGATTTTCCCTCCTTCGAGTGCGGGTGTACTGACGAACTGTAGGAATTACTCAAGTAATGCTAGGTATTATGGAATGCAATGATCAACCTACTGCGACTGAATTCCGAGCCGGCTATTAGGCGGCTCAGATCGGAACTGGAGCTGCAGAGGGAGCTGGAACTGCCGTAAGCCTCGGAATTCCGCTGCCTGTTAAACATATTTGAACTCAAGTCTGGATTTCTGACAGCCAACACTAAGTAAATGGGTTCAGATATGTTTTCCAAGCGTGAGATACATGCGAGGATCCACGGGGGGTGATAAGGATATATCACCCCCCACTCAGGTGAAAAAAGAATGGAATTTTGCTATTATTATTGGTGTAAGACCATTTTTGGCCAAGTTACAGCAAAAAAACAATAAGAAAAATTCAAATTTTTATCAAAAAACCAGATCCCGATTTTTTACAACAAAATAATTGGTTTTTTGATCAAAACAATGGAAATATTGATACAAGTATGGATTATCATACCTTTCTGAACTCGTTATCAAATTTCCAATCGATTGGCATTTAAGCCAGGACATTTTATTTTTGTTCACAGTTTTCTTAAAAAATCATGATAAAATTATAAATAGTGTGAGAATTGGCGAAAACTTTATTTTTTCAAAATCAAACGGAAAGTGTTATGTATTTATTTATTATTTTGTTATCTGTTCAAAACAGTGCGTATTTTTGGTGTAAGACCATTTTTGGCCAAGTTACAGAAAAAACTAAAAGAAAAATTCATATGTATATTTGTCAAAAAAAAGTATGCAAACATTTTTTTTCTGATATTACCCTCACCACAAAATCCTTGAATCGCCACTATTGAGATAACTTGATCATTAAATTAGATTAAAGTCAAAGATATTTTATTAATAGCTTAACACAATAAATAGCCGTTATATCTGTGTACAAATGCAATCAGTTGAGCAAACACTCCACCAGTTATCACCATCGATATCGGGGTCCGGGCCTTCGACTTCAAATCCACGAGTGCCCCTTATCGGCGGAACATCTCAGACCCTTGAGACACTGCCCTAAGAAATCGATCGATCGATCGATCGGGTATCTGCGACCGAGTATCTGCCTATCTGAGGCAAGGACATCGGATCGGCAATATCTTGCTTTCGCTTCGCATTTAAAGCCCCCGGTTACTTAATCGCGGCACAAAGTGCGATTTGGAAAGCTCGTGCCGAGGTGTGCGATTAGCCCACCGATTATGAGCATGTAGTTGCGATCTTATCGGAACTCTGGAGCCCATCGCCACCTGACCAGCGGATTGATAAGGCCCCAGGATCGGGCGAAAAGAGTTTTTTCACCCAGATTCCGCCTTATAAACGGTATGCGGTATGGTATAGATCTCTATGCCTGTCAACACGCAACCCGGTCGACCGATCGACCGACACACAGACACCCAACGTCTTGATGGCTTTAATTAAGTGTTACTCAATCGATCGCATAGCTCGCATTATAAAGACTAGACACCATGCAATCTCGAGCCAAGTGACAATCGTAAAATCGAAAGCAAGAAGCAAACAAAAAGTTCACTTGTCGCACAGTCAGGGCCCCTCGTTGAGCAATAATGGTTAGCCATAACAATAACAATATCGGCTATATGCTATATGCTATATGCCATGGGCTATGGGCTATCGGGAATCGGCCGATTGGCTATGGCCAATAGATGTTTATACTTGTTTCTGGGCATGGCTATAATGATAGGCGGCCATAAATACTATTCGCAGCTATCGACGCAGCGATTAAGTTCATAAAACAAAAACGCCACAAGTTTTGCGACCACCTCCTCCGATTAGATGGCAATCGATGGCGGTGGGCCAAAGGGGGTTAAACTGTGTATTTCGGAGTTTCCACTTCGGGGGATGCAGGGTTGGTACGTGGCGGAAGAACCCTTCAATGGCTCTGCGCCTTCAAGGATCTTAGCTATACTGTTTTCAGTTTAAGTATAATATTTGCATATTTCTTTTAATTGGATTCTTATATCCCAGGACTTTGATAAAAAAATCTATTCGGATTTTAAATTATCTAAGGTAAATCACGGTTCATACCTAGATCTCTTATCGTTTTAAAGGTCCAATCAAATAATTAAGATATGTAGTTTAACGATTTCTCCAATGATTCTACCATTCCCACATATTTCTATGAAATTATCTCAAATTTGATAGATTCATCGACCATAAAACTACTTAATGGCTTTCTAATAGTAAATTTTCCCATTAATATAATTTTAAAGGGCTTAGGATAATTTATTGTAGTGCTTTCAAAATAACGCCAATCATTTTGGGGTCTTAAGCTTTGTTATTTACACCTTGAAAAGTGAGAAAAAGGAAAGTCATTTAGTTCGTTATATGCAAGTCACTCGTATTAAATACTGGACGCCCTGCTTCAATAATACGTGGAGTACTTCAAATTTCTTGAAAAAGGAATGGCTAATTAGTAAGTTTGCGATCTATATTTTTAGCTTATCAGTAAACAGGTTGGTTATTTGGGTATAATCTCTAGTACCAAATTAACCAACAATCCAAATTATTAGAGGGGAACACATTGACATTGCAGATCCCCAAATCTGCCTTTTTCACTTTCAAACTTCGTTTGACTCACACTATCTTTTCTATTTTGCAGTATTATCAGCGTATTGACGTCGTAGCGGCTTCTTGAATTATTATCTGCAGACCGTATATACTAGCCTACTTTTCGATTCATGACTTATGGCGGCTAAAGGTGGGAAGCTCCCATCCCAGAGATCTGCAAGTAATGCCAAGGAGATAACCGTTAGGGCGTTGAAAATATTTAGTTAATGACTGGGCGCAATCTGCACTACCCACCACCGACCACCCACCGCCCACTGGCTAATGACAGACGGGGCGTGGCAGGTGTGATAAGCACACTTGCCCTCAAAGCAATTGTGATGGACTGTGATGATCTGGAATCGACAGGTGGCGGTTAGGGGGGAGTTAAAAAGGAAAGGGGGTTATTTCGGTGGTTAGTAGTGGGCCATAAATAACAAGCTGCGGCTTCATTCATTGTGGGTAAGCGAACACCGGGCCGTAAATACTTCCACTTGGCTGTCGATAACACAGCGATTAGGCTTATCACTATGTAGTTTTAACGCTTTTTGTCATCCTTCGGCGCTGGCAGCGACGCCGACCGCAGCAGCGGCCGAGCACGCGCGCAGTCGCAGCGGGCAGAGGGCGGAGCTGCACAACATAACCGTTAACGGCTTCTTAGCAAAGCTCGTCGCCAGTCTACTTCAGTCTGAGGCTGTTGATCGCCGCTAGCGGACGTGGTCGCTCAACCCTACTCTACTCGATTCGATTCGACTCAAAACCGATTCAGAAACCAATCCCGAACCGATTCCAAACCGATCCCATCCGATCCGACGTGCGTTCTATATTTTTTTGCAGTTGTTAAATGTTTTAATGTGAGTTACGAGTGCGCGAAATGCAATGAACAATAAAAGCAGCAACGGTAGAAAAGAGACAATAAATACAAATTAAAAGCATTAAAAAAGTTTAAAACTTTTCAAAAACACTTTTTTAAGATTTTAAAATCTTTTTAATCCTAAATTGTGTTCACAGAGCGTTTTAGTATTGAGGTTTAGTAGAAACATTTGACTGATATCATTACATATCTTTAAATTACTTCCTTATAACAGCTAAATACAAATAGCTAAAGATATTTTTATTAATATTTCTCAGTTCACATTTAAAATCAATTAATAACCCATTAAACATCAATTGAGATCATAGTTTTTCTACTTGATAAACATATATATTTCCCATGTCGTGAGATCAATTTTATTATTTTATAGCCAGGCAATTTTCCATTAAATATTCGTCTTACCCTTTTTTGATCACCGATTTTTGGCTCATTGAACCGCAGGCGAGGATTATTACTTTTTTGTTTTTGTCATATCTGTTGTTTCTCAATGTAAATAAAAAACACAAGTATTCTACTTTTTTTGTCCATTAAAAAGAAAGCTTGAGTTTATGCAACCCGTCCTACATATTATACACCGTACAACGTAATGATTTTTAAATAAATGCCATATTTCTCTTCGATTTCAAGTGACGCGTAACGGATGTAAAGCGATCCACGGATTCCCAACATGACGGATAAAGAAAATGGTAAAGCTAATCACAAAAAACCTAGCTTCATAATTATAGTTTTTACAGCAAGGTGGGTAATTATACAGATCAGTGAACCGAGATTTATGGCCCATATTTTGGAGATACATATATCGCAGTCGTATGACGTAGTCCGTACATACTATATATGGTGACATTCGGTATTGCAATGAATTCAACTGCGTTTTATATTAATTACTACGATCTTTGAGTATTCGAATAACGTTTAAGGTTGCCATGCTGTTCCTTATCAATGGGAAACTTTGGTTTTTCCTTTTATATGCACTTGAGTTCAGCCTTTGAGTCATGGTTCCGTTTTCTCCATATGCAATTTATTTATTGTATTGAAAAGTCCCCGCGCCCCCAGATTGTGCTGGCACTTTTGCTTAATTTATTGCGGCCGTTTTTCCCTTAAATATAGGCCGTTGGGTAACGTTCAAGTAGTAAAGATTAGCGGAATATCTGGGGACACTTATTGGCATTAGTGACAGAGCGGAGGAGCGATTACCAGAAACTCTCTTGGCAGCGTGTGCAGTCCGCAAATCTAATCGCTCCGATAAGGGACTTCCATCTGGAGTGCTTTGCCCCGGGTTATAGTTTTAGCCACTTGAGCACCTCCACGACCACAAAAACAGCCAGGTCCAAATGCGTATTCGATTTTGCCGGTCCCCAAAAAGAGAACCACCGAACTTGGTCAAATGGCACGGACAGACCTTGCCTAAATCAAAAACAAAATAAAAAACTCGCCTTGCTTACATTATATATTTTTTCTATTTTCTAATTTGTATAATTGTGTGGTTGGTGCCTGCATTTCAATGTCAACCCCCGGCTTCATTTGCATATTCATAGACAGCAACTGCCATTGCGGGTGTTTAAAGCCTGTGACTGCGATTGCGATTCCCATTCCGATTGCGAATGCGATTTTGTTTGGTATTCCCCACGCGAACAATTGGCTGACAAATCGCTGGGAGAGCTGGAGAATGCCTGTACTTTGGTGCAACTGCTTGCAATTAGTGAGCAATTTACCAGGTATTCGGTATTTGGTATTTCATATTGGGTTGCTCACTTTGGGACCAGAACTTGGCCGAATTGGTTGGGGCGGTAACGCTATCGGGGGACTATAATTGCCATTTCGAACGGAACAAGACAATCAAAGTTTGCGCACTACCGAAAACACAAACTTATCTACCACCAGCACACTCACTGACAACTTCCATTGAATAATTCTGTTTCTTCAGAGCAAAAAAAAGAAACATTTGTAATTAAAAGTGGGCCGAAACCCCCTTTCTGCCCCGCTTATCATTCCGACCTAATCGCTTGTAAATCAGATGGAATCGCCGATACACCGGTGGATACTCTACATTTAGATCCTCTCTATGGCGATTACGATATTGGGTCGGTGCTAAATTTACAACCGATTCGATTGGCAATCGGTGAACAATAGCGACAGCGATAACGATGCCGATAGCGCAGGGAACGTCGTCATATCATAGCACCCAGTACCGCCCCATCCGATCTGCAAAGTCATCGAAGAGCCACTTGAACAGGCACGTACGCACTTGCTGGATCTTCCATTGAGTTCGGGAACTTATAATTTAGTAAATATCCTATACTGATTACTCCATCATATATCACTTCTTACCTATAAAGTCTGCCTTAATTGTCTTTATTTATTGCCTTTTATATAAGGTTAATTAAACAATCTTAAAGGGCTGTCCATCTAAATACCTACGCTCATGCGTAACCATCTTAGTACCCACCAATCAATCAATCAACTTCTCTCCCAAACTATGCAACTCCCAAAACCTAAAAGCTTTTCAAAAAGAAATCTCGAGAAAGTGAAATTGAGAACACTTTCACAGCACTTCTCTGCGACTCTTTACAACTGCACTCGAGACATACCAGGCTTATCTTATTATTTATAGGAAAAGCCCTCATCATATTTATTTTTTAATTACCTCGCTGTAAATTCCAATCAGGCTAGGAATCTTTTGATTTCCCCTATCGCTTGATCGAAGATCTCCATCCTTGGCGACATTGACACAGATCCCTGGCACTATATACCATTATTATAGGCGACTGGGAATGAATGAATGAGTGGATTTGAGTGGATTTAGTCTGGTCTCCCGACTTCAAACGGCCACCGAAGCGGGTCAATGCTGTACACGTCTGGTACTCGTATATTTTGTATATTTGTGTTTCCCTGCGCGATAAGGCGTTTTATGTTAATGGATGTTTGATGTGGAGTGTAGTGCGTGCAATAGCATTGTTTCCACGGTTTATGGTGCCATGTGATGGCTACATTACTGCCTCAAATGGCGGCCATAAACGCTGATAAAGCATCGATGGATTAGCCACGAACCGAACCGAACCGAACCGATTCTGGATATCGCACCTAGATAAGGTCGTCATTCACGGGCAGTCATTGGGGACTTTCCCAGTTGGCTTCCTGATCCCATTGAACACCGATCGGATCCAGATTCAGATGCAGATCCCCATCCAGTTATCCGAACATGGCCATGACCATGAGCAATTACCATTCAATCCACATGGACATGACCATTTAAGCCCCGCCAGACATTCAGACGCAGCATCGTCGGTAATCAGCATGTGATTTATGGAGTGGAAAGCCATGCTCTCTGTCAAGTTGTCAAAGTGGCGAATAGGCGGCGATCCCCGAGAGAGCTATCTGCCCCGGCTATCTTGGCTGTCTGCCACCGCTGTAAAGCACTAATGCTGCTAAATTTATGCCGGGCCACCGAATTCACACGCCCACGGGCGCAGTAAAGGCCTGGCCAAATATAGAGCAGTCCTTATCTGCGGCGGAGGTGTCAAGCACAAGGCCACCGCCTTACCTGTTCTGATGAAATGTCGCTGATCTAGTAGATCACTGGCGAGTCTGTGTGGGCAGACGAAATGGAACGGCCGGCGGAGCAAGTACCCCTGCTGGGTGGGCTCTCCCAACTTCCGAGCACCAAGTACACGGTTCTAAACCTGTATCCTGTATTCTCTTTCCTCCACAGAAATACAGCCTGCGGCTGAACCATCGAATCCCTCGCCAAGAGCTGTGGTTGGAGAAGACTCTACCCCCAGTGCTCCGATCGTAGAAGACTCTACCCCGAGTCCTGCGCCCGTAGAAGACTTTACCCCCAGTACTGCGATCGTAGAAGACTCTACCCCCAGTGCTCCGATCGTAGAAGACTCTACCCCGATTGCAGACAGTCCACCCGCCGTCGAGAGCAATGGCAAGGCATTGGTGGAGGCCAAGAAGTTGCCCGAGATATCCGCGGAACCGCTGAAGAATGGCAAGGAGCCGGAGCAGAATGGCAAGGAGCTGCAGGAGGCCAGTGACTTCAAGAACGTCTCCGAGGCCGAGGGACAGCAGAAGGTAATTCCTTATTAATCCCCCCCTAATCCAAACTCGAACTAATCAGGACTCTACCCCATTGATCCTCAGAAACTGCCCTACCCCAAGTCGGTGTTCTTCATCATCAGCAACGAATTCTGCGAGCGTTTCAACTACTACGGCATGAGAAGTGGGTTTATCCGTTTAGATCCTCTATAGAATCTCTGCTAATCGTATGCTCTTCTACTCATAGCTGTTCTGGTCCTCTATCTGAGTCGAGTTCTGGGCTATTCCGACGACACCGCCACCGTGGTCTTCCACGTCTTCACCATGTTCGTGTACTTCCTCTGCGTTTTCGGTGCCATCATCTCGGACTCCTGGCTGGGCAAATTCAAGACGATCCTGTATCTATCCCTGGTGTACATATGCGGATCGGTGCTGCTGACCCTGGGCGCCATCGGACCCCTCAACCTGCCCATGGAGACGTTCACGATGCTGGGCCTGGCGCTAATTGCCCTCGGATCGGGCGGCATTAAGCCCTGCGTATCGGCATTCGGCGGCGATCAGTTCAAGGTGCCGGAGCAGGTGAAGCAGATCACCTCGTTCTTCTCGCTCTTCTACTTCTCGATCAATGCCGGATCGCTGATCTCCACCACCGTGACGCCGATTCTTCGCGAGGACGTCTCCTGCTTCGACGACATCAACTGCTATCCCTTGGCCTTTGGAGTGCCCGCCGTGCTGATGATCGTATCGGTGATCGTCTTCGTTCTGGGACGATCCCTCTACAAGATGAAGCCGCCGGCAGGGAATATGGTGGTGCTGGTGAGCAGCACCATCTGGACGGCCATCACGACCAAGTGCAGGGAGAAGAAGACCAATCCCCGAGAGCACTGGCTGGACTATGCCGACTCCAAGTACGACCGCCAGTTGATCGACGATGTGAAGGTTCTGATGAGGGTGCTCTTCCTCTACCTGCCGCTCCCCGTCTTCTGGGCACTTTTCGATCAGCAGGGCTCCCGCTGGACCTTCCAGGCCACCCGCATGGACGGCGACATGGGCTCCTGGGACATCAAGCCCGACCAGCTGCAGGTGCTCAATCCGCTGCTCATCCTGCTCTTCATCCCCCTGTACGATGTGGCCTTCTATCCGCTCCTGAGACTCGTGGGCATCAGTCGACCGCTGCAGAAGCTCACCATGGGCGGCATCCTGGCCGGCATTGCCTTCATCATTTCCGGCGTGGTGGAGCTCAATCTGGAGGTGAGTTTAATTTGAATTTTAGGCCCTCTATCAAATAGCTTTGCTTAGTAAGACATACCGTATTGTACTGTATTTTCACCTGCACCTGCACCCGCACTTTCCCCTTCTTTCTCGTTGCACGCCTTGCTGTCGCTAGAAAACCTATCCCGACCTGCCCTACAGCCAGAACATCCAGCTGCGCATCTTCAATCCGGAGAACTGTGCCTACACCTTCACCTCGAACCTCGAGGGCGTGGAGAGCGTGACGGTGCCCTCGCTGAATGCCTATACGAACAAGGAGCTCTACGTGCCCAGCTCGTTGAACCTGGTGTACTCGCTGACCAGCCAGGATCCGGCCTGCACCAACAATGTCGTGGGGGCCACTAAAACGCTGACCGACAAGAAGGCCTGGTCGCTGTTCCTCAACCCCACGAATATCAGCACCTCGCACTTCTGGGAGGAGGACTTCGTGGACAAGCCCAGCGAGAGCCATCCGCTGATCCGGAACGTGGCCAATGTACCGCAGACGCAGACGATCTACTGGCGAAGTGTCTCCAAGCAGGAGACGGCCTTCGAGGATCTGGCCGCCAAGACGAACCTCACCCGGGTGAATTCGGCAGAGTACGAGGTCCTGGTGGGCGAGGCGGTTGTGGGGCGATTCAATGTCCACACCGGCGGAGTCTACACACTGCTGATCAGCGACGGGCTCGTGGGCCAGCTGGTGGAGGTGACGGAGCCGAATTCGATGAACATCCTCTGGCTGGTGCCGCAGTACGTGGTCATGACCCTCGGCGAGGTGATGTTCTCGGTGACCGGACTGGAGTTCTCCTACGCCCAGGCGCCGCCCAGCATGAAGAGTGTCCTGCAGGCCTGCTGGCTACTGACTGTGGCCTTTGGCAACGTCATCGTGGTCATCATCGCCGAGGCGGCCCTCTTCGAATCGCAGGCCAGCGAGTTCTTCTTGTTCGCCGGCCTTATGTTCGCCGACATGCTGATCTTCATGGTGATGGCCTACTACTATGTGCCCAATGATCCCAACAAGAAGGAGGAGGAGACCCAGCCGCTGACGGCGGGCGATGCCACCAAGGCCACCGAGATCCCGCCCCTCGAGGGGGGAGTGGAGAACAAGGGCAAGGACATCGACGAGTAGATCCACTGACCTGATCTGATCTGATCTGATTCCTCCTGCTCGCTCCTGCGTTGTGTATTATATGTATTTGTACTTGTAGATGTGTAGATGTGAATCCTTAGTGGCCTCTGTCCATTTCCAAGCTAAGTGTAAGTGAAGCCCCGCCGGGCGTTGTTGCATATGAAAAGACATCCATCTAGTTAATCTAATAAAAGAAAACTATTATTATAGCCCGCTGCTTGTTTGTCTGTCTTTCGTGTTTCTTTCTATCTGAACTGTGATCTTGTGTTAGTCTCTATAGGATGATCATTTAGGAGATTCCAGGAGGATAGTAGGGGTATAGTAATGTACTTATATAGGGAATATACCTTCCTTGCAGCGCACTTACCCGCTGATCCCGAGTAGTGGCAATACCCAGCTTCGGGTCTTCAGCGGCATTCCCGACTGCGAGTATCGCTTCAGCACGAACCTGGGAGCCCGGGAGAGCTTCACCCTGAGGGGTCTGGACTACTACTATTCGGGCAGTGTGGCCACGAGTAGCGATGGCACCTTCAAGTTCACCTACACCGTGGAGAGCCTGACCGAAGGTGAGCTATGATATAAGAAATTGCTATCCTCCCTCGCAGCTAAGGACCAAAATCGATTCTATATTTTCGAAATGAATTTATTGTTCAGAACTTGAATCCAACTGGGACTTTTTGACACCAGCGAGTAGTAGTTTCTGTAGAGATAAGTGTGACACCACAGATTAAATTCATTTCTAAGCTCACGTCATTAAAAGATATCAGGTGCTACCTCAGAAATAGCTAGAGATTTAGGATCACCAATTAATCTGTCTTAACTAATGACGTCGGTTGGCTGGAAATGTCTCATAAGAATCCAAAGGTGTTTTACATTTTTGTAAATACTGTTGAAATATTTTTGTGAACTTTATCAAAGTGGTGATCATTTTGGTTGTAAATGCTTTCCAAATTTACAACAAATTAAACTTTTTTTTAAATAAAAGAAATATAAATGTTAGAGAAAAATTAAACAACCTTTTTCATTAAAATGAAGCTAAATAAAATTAAAATTAAATTACGAACTTTTTTTTTAAATTGAGGTCGTTAATTGTCATTACATTTTATTAAGAAACGCAACCGAATGTTAAACTAAAAGTGGGTTTTAAGCCTAGAGAGGGAATGAAAATTCTTTAACTTGCAAACGGCCATACAGGAAGTTCCCTTTTGATCTTTGGTAGTAAAAGCATAGAGCTCATATTTTTTACTCGTTGGTTATAATAATTACCTGTTTACACCCCAGGTTGCTCCTCTGTGGAGGGCGGCACCCAGCAACTGTACGAGGCCACCGCCCACTCGCTCTTCCTGCGACCCTCGCACGCGATCGGGAAGTTCTGGTACGAGGACGAGGTGCAGAAGTCCAACCGCTCGTGGGCCTTTGTGCGCACCCTGGCCAATCTGCTGGCCACCACGCGGGTGGTTTGGACGGAGGAGTCCGCGGAGACGGTGGCCCTGGACCTGCCGGCCCGCAATCACGAACTCTACGAGCTGAACACGGGCGACTACCTGGTCCAGGTGGCGGACCAGAATCTCACCCAAGTGGAGCTGCGGGCCGGGGGCGTCTACGCCCTGCTGATTGGCCAGAGCCACGGCGCCTTCGTGTCGCGCCTGGTCGAGGTGACCAGCCCCAATTCGATGCACATGCTCTGGCTGGTGCCGCAGTACGTGGTGATGACCCTCGGCGAGGTGATGTTCTCGGTGACGGGGCTGGGCTTCTCCTACTCCCAGTCGCCGCCCAGCATGAAGAGCGTCCTGCAGGCCTGCTGGCTATTCACTGTGGCCTTTGGCAACGTCATCGTCGTGGTGATCGCGGAGCTCAAGTTCTTCGAGTCGCAGGCCAGCGAGTTCTTCTTGTTCGCCGGCCTCATGTTCGTCGACATGTTGATCTTCATGTTCGTCTCGTACTACTACAAGCCCTACGACGAGGTGGCGGCCCTCGCCGAGAGGATCAGGGCTAGGCGTCGGGAACGCAAGTGGCAGGATCTCGACCGATTCAAGCGGGAATGAGACGTATTGTAAAATCTACATATCTGTAGATATGTACCTAAATATATATGGGCACTTCAAAAAAAGTCCACCAAGCCAAAACCTTGAAACTTGATAAAACATATTTCCATGATTTTGCCCCGATATTACTTTCTAATTAGTTGGATACTGAGCTTAACTAAATTTGGAGTATAGTTTGATTATTTTTATGACAACTCCACCATATACGAAAATCGTTTTTGGCTATTTTTGTTATTTTTGGACCTGTCTTCTGTTGTTAATTTATCCTTAGGATGCTAATATGTGACTTTTTCTGTACTGAATGCTTCTTTCTGTTAACTATTAATTTAAAAGCAAACATAAAGAATTGAGGGATGGGTAAAGAAATCCACTTTACAAACAGTCGGAAAAATGTCCCGGGAATGTCCCGAGGAATGTGGTTGAAACTGCATAAAAAAAACGGCAAAGAATTTTGAGTAAAACCAAAGTATTTCCAGCGACATGTTTGAACAACATTCTAAAAAATCGCATTCAAATATTCCTGATTTGCTAATTTCTGGTGTTGTATGAACTTCCTCGAAATCCACTTCTATTTTTTCCGAGATCGGCTTTTTACCGATATCTTAAAACTAAAGTGGTACAAATAAGATTTTTACCAAAATAGGCTTGGGGGTAAAGAAAGCCCATAATTAAAATTAAAATCCATTGTTTTAAATTTATTTTCAACTTTAAAGGTGTGCAAATGTCCCGAGCGACATTTTGGAAGTGCCCATATATATAAAATACTGCATATATGAGGAAAATATTTCATTTGGATCCATGGGAAACTGAGAAAATAAATAGTTGCATTAATTTAAATGTGTTTTATTATACGAATTTATAAGAATTCTACAATAATCTTGATTTTTTGATAAGCAGCACACAATTTTTAACGATTTTTACTTGGTGAATTATTACCTTATTTAAATCAGTAATTTTTAATTGCAAAACAGGAATAATTTAATAAATTTATACGCAAAAAAGTCGTAGGTTTTTAAATATAGTTTTCAAATAAACGTAAAAAACCTCTTTATTAAATTTAACATTTTCATGTTACAGTGGATTTTTTGGATTCTTTTATTTCGGTATAAATTAACTTTATTTTAGAGCACCTATTAAATGAATAACTGCTTCGGCAAATAAAAACATGGTTTATGCCTTCCTTTGATATGTTTTTCAGCGATAAACAAAGAAAAATAAAGTAACAACATGAAATTCAAATTCAAAGTCACGGGGCGTTGCCAGACCAGCGGCGGACTTAACAGCGTGCTGTAAGGCGCACGCCGTCACCTGACATTCGGCCTTTTTTAGGCACTTCTGCGCTGACACTTGGCCGAGAAAAAAACCAACAAGAAGAGGAAGAGCTGGAAATCATATGACTTGTCGATCGATAGAGAAAAAAGGTTGAATTTTCACCGTCGCTCCGTTTCGAACTGCACGCCCTTCGCCACACAATTCGCGCAACTTTCGGTCGAGCGAGAGCAGCCAAATAGAAAGGAATCCACCAAGCCAGAAATCCAGTGGAATTCTGCACCTCTTCAACTTCCAGCCAGCTCCCCTCTGCGTGTGTGTGTGCGTGTGTCATCAAGATGAACAGCTCGGGTTTTATGTTCAACATCGATAATGGATATCTGGAGGGTCTGTGCCGGGGCTTCAAGTGCGGCATCCTGAAGCAGGCCGACTATCTGAACCTGGTGCAGTGCGAGACCTTGGAGGGTGAGTACCAGAGCCCATTGGCAGAGCAGCCCCCCGTAAAACCCCATTTTCCCACACGCCCCTGGGTCACATGACCAGCGATAACAGAGGCGTGCGTGTGTGTATACATGCACTGCTGTTAATATATCTCTGCGCCGGTGTGTGTAAGCTTGTCTTGTGATTTGTTGACGTTTTTCCAACTGGTTTTTCAACCTGGCTTTTAGTCACTTTTCCTGGATTTCCCAGGAGTCCAGGTTCTCAATCCCAGGAACACACGGTCAGCTGGAATGTTAACACATAGCAGCCATAGAATCCACAGTTTGCTAGGCACTGACTGATTCCAGGGTCTTTAAAAACTATCCTAGAACTACCCACTTTTATTTGAATTTATCCACTGTATAAGAAATTTACTCAAATTTTATGGCTTCACCCTGGTGTTATATCTTATTCTTGAATTAAACTTGTAATAATCCTTCTTGTAAAGACTTTAAAAACGTCTTTTTAGCCTTACATACATATCTATTTATGAAAATCATTTATAAAAATAAGTCAAAATAATCAAGTTCTATTAAATTAAAACAGAATTCGAATAGCCCTTCTCAAAATTCCTGCAAAACCATCTTCTTTTCTAATATATTTAGCTTGTCAAAATAGGATTCTAACCGTTTCTTCCCCCATTTTACAGATCTCAAGCTGCATCTGCAGGGAACGGACTATGGCAGCTTCCTGGCCAACGAGCCCTCCCCTCTGTCGGTCTCCGTCATCGACGACAAGCTGCGCGAAAAGCTGGTCATCGAGTTCCAGCACATGCGGAACCACGCTGTGGAGCCGCTGTCCAACTTCCTGGACTTCATCACCTACGGCTACATGATCGACAACATCATCCTGCTGATCACCGGCACGCTGCACCAGCGACCCATCTCTGAGCTGATCCCCAAGTGCCACCCACTGGGCAGCTTCGAGCAGATGGAGGCCATCCATGTGGCGTCTACGCCCGCCGAGCTGTACAACGCCGTGCTGGTGGACACGCCTCTGGCGCCCTTCTTCGTCGACTGCATCTCCGAGCAGGATCTGGACGAGATGAACATCGAGATCATCCGCAACACCCTCTACAAGGCCTATCTGGAGGCGTTCTACAACTTTTGCAAGAACATGGGTGGCGCCACCGCCGACGTCATGTGCGAGATCCTGGCTGTGAGTGGCTGTACTTTCTCTATCGGGGGGATATCATAAGCTAGAAGTTTAAATAGAAACTGAAGTTGATTAGATTTTAGTTTAGGGCACGAAATCTCAAGGAAATTGTAAGGCAATTAAGTTATCAATGTGTGGTTATGTATGCTTTCGATACTACTTTTTTAGGATCTTTAATGGTTAACTAGAGATAAATCACTGTGGACTGCAGTCATGTAGTACGAAACGCATCAAAATAATATCTTCAAGCTAGAATGTATTCACTTATTTGCTATTAATTCCAATTATCCATAAAAAACGTTAATAATAATGTGATGATAATCCACTACCATTGCAGTTTGAGGCCGATCGTCGTGCGATCATCATCACCATCAACTCCTTCGGCACCGAGCTGTCCAAGGACGACCGTGCCAAGCTGTATCCCAACTGCGGCAAGATGTACCCCGACGGCCTGGCCGCTCTGGCTCGCGCCGACGACTACGAGCAGGTGAAGACCGTGGCCGAGTATTACGCGGAGTACGCCGCCCTGTTCGACGGATCCGGCAACAATCCCGGCGACAAGACGCTGGAGGACAAGTTCTTCGAGCACGAGGTCAAGCTGAACGTGTACGCCTTCTTGCAGCAGTTCCACTTCGGAGTCTTCTACGCGTACCTCAAGCTCAAGGAGCAGGAGTGCCGCAACATCGTCTGGATCGCCGAGTGCGTCGCCCAGAAGCACCGCGCAAAGATCGACAACTACATACCCATCTTCTAAGCGCGCTAGATGATCGCTAACCATTTGGCATATACATAATATTATACGTTTTTTTTTCCTGCCTTTCGATATGCGTTTTTTTTTTGTTTGTCCCCTACCCTTGTTATTCAATTGTTTAATGTATATTATATTATGATACTGTGTCTGTACGTTTGTATGTAGTTTTGTTGCGAGTATTATTGCCGGTCCTGGCAAGTTTTTGTCAAGTGTTCAGACCCGGACCTAAAGATTTATCCGATTCCGCCGCTCCTCCCCGATTGTTGTCAGCATTGGCCCAATAGATAACTATATAATATGTATTCGGGAGACCCCTAGTGTCCCTTCAGGGCTTCGTGTTTGTGTACATATGTATAATTATCGAACGGAACGAAAACAGTTCAAATTGAATGTAGAGAAAGGAAAGCATCAGCACCATATGTTAACTACTATATAGAAAATGCATACTTATACAAAAACTACATATGTGAATGATAAATCAATTATTAAAACATGTTTTCAAACATTCCCTTAAACGGTTCTGTCTAATAACTCATTTATGTGCCTCCCTATTTTGCCCCAAACGAGATGGATCTTTTAGTTCGCTAATAGAGAGTCTTGTAAAACGTGACCTAAATTTGATTTAATCAAGTGAGAGGGATGAGAATACTAAAGTTAGCTTAAATGGATTCATTGGCCTGGCCAAAACCCAGTTATATAGCTGTCACTCTGGCGATTGCCTCTGATAGCAACTTTCTTGTTTTTTTTTTTGCATAATCAAACACATTTTTCTTCTAATTTTACTTTAATACATATTTTCTCTTGTGTCTGCAAGTCTTTCGGATGCTTCATTAGCCAAAGCTCAAAATGTCAATCGATCGGAGAAAAAATCACGGGTCGTTATGGGGTTACATAAAAATTGGATAAGACGTCAAACAAGTTATTGGGTATCGAATGATTTCAAGTGGGTTTCCGTAGAAAGCACATCTAAAAAGATGCTCTTCAGCAGGATGAAAATACGGTTTCTTTCACACAAATGATCTTCATAGGAAGTTTAAAAATGTTGATTACTTTGATTTGAAACTATTATAACTCTAAGAACTTCCTTTAATATCACGTTGTATTTTTAAAGTAACTGGTACTTTGACTTCCAGCTTTACGGTCTTTAGTACTGATTAATCGCTCTTAGTCATCTGAAGTATGCATGATAAATGCGAATAAGAATGAATGACTCTGACAGGATCGCTTCATAAATTGTATAAATTCATAAAGAAGTCAGTTGAAACCAACTGATCACGTAGGTTTAAGGTGTGTGGAGTGTTCAAGGATGTCAAGATATTCTTTGTCTGCTGGCGGAGTTCAAGGTTTCCATACTATCAGGGTGTGTCCACTTACTTGTCATTGGGGGATCACATACCTAGACAAAGAAATTTATCAGAAGGTTAAAAAAAAATCCAAGAAAGAGGAAGAATAATCTATGTTTTTTTTAACTTGTTTAATTCAGTTTAGTTAAGTCTAGTTTTTAATATTTTACTTATTCCGTTGTTAATATTCGCGAAATCTTTAAAAATTAATTATATTTACTTTAGATACCTAGTAGTTAATGATAATACTTATCTTTTATCTTTGTCTTAATCAACATTTAATTATCCAAGACAAGGAAGGCAAAACTCTCCATTATATAACTGTATTAGGCCAATATAACTTGGCCGAACATGAGGATTAAGATCAGCTTTGTGTATGCAGAGTCAATAGGAAATCTATAGCTTTTCTTTCTGTGTCGTGGGTTAATTGCATGCAGCGTGCTACGTGCTACGTGCCCATAGATCGGCGCATTACCGTTAGGCCTTTGCCATCCATATGGATCTTGGCCTAGTGCGTACTATACCTATACCTATGCCAGTACCTATACCATAACCATAGCTCTATAGAGCAGGTGTCTGTGCGTTAGAGCCGACGAACCCCGAACCCCGAACACGTTCGATGCGAAAAGAAAGCTGCTGTTTGCCGTTGTGTTGTTGTGTTGTTGGTTCGATCAGCTGGGGAGTCGTGGAGTCGCCGTGGAATCGCCCATAACTCGGCCTGGTGGCTCCAAGTCCGCGCAGTCGAGTTCCGCGTCCCCGAGCGTTGAGTTCAGTCTTCAGTCTTATAAAGAGCAGCGCAGCATCGGACTTCCTGGCAAAGCGTGAAAATCAACCGAAAAGCATCAACCATCATCACGCGCGCCAAGCCAAGTTCAAATCTTACTACTTTTTTTTTTACACCCACGGAGTGCTTTAGTTTTTTTTGTGTTCCAAGTGAAATACGGAAGTGTGTTGGATCAGCAGCTGAAATAGCCCACACCAGGATACCAGGATAACGAACCCATAGGTAAATTTATATAGACTGAAATGCGGTCGACCCGCAAGTGGGCCAATAATGATGAGCATTGGTAGTTGGTAAAAAACCAAAGCCAAAGACAGACGGCCAAAGAGGCACAATTGCACGTAAAAGTCGCCAGTCGGCGTGGAATTGTGGAATTGTGTCAACCAGTTTGGCCCCCACTTTGCGAGTATATCCAAATACCCCCTGCTTGAAGACCCGCCGCCGCTCCTAACTCTCCAGATCTCCATCTACGTAGCTGGCCATCCGCTTCTGTTTGTGCTGTGCGTTCTTCTTTCCTTGTCATTAACTTATTTGAATTTGGCAAAACAAAAGAAACGCGTCGAGCGTTCGTTTGAGTTCGAGTTCTTCGTTTTACTTTCTACAACCCATCACCATCGCCATCGCCGCATTCTTCGCTGTCCAAAGTCTCAGGTGCTGGAAAGTGGAACTGTCTGTCCGATTGTTGCCCAGCTGGTCCAAAAGACCAACTTGTGGCTCAGGTGGCTGGTGGAGGCTCTTGGCTAATTGATGACCAAAGCCAGCTGGATAACCGAAACCCATCCGAAAAGCCAGTAATCTCCCAAGAAAATCGTTGTAAAGAAAAGTAGGGAATTCGTAGCAGGTCTTTTATTTTCAGAATATTCATTCTTTGTAGGGGTTTTGTGTTTTTAAGGGTTTACCTTCAATATTACAAGATATAGGACAAGTTTATTTTGTATTAAACACAGCATAAGATATTTTCCAAATAATGCCAGCATTACAAAAGGGTTGAAAACAAAAACATTAACTTTGTGTCGATCCCATCGATGGAATCCAAGGTTTACCAGCTCAAAGCGGGCTAATTTTCTGGTCCATCGGGTCAGCCTTGACCGGAAATGCCGACCGCTGCCCCCGCTTCACCCCCTTTTCTACACCCACCCCACGCCCATGGCAAACAGAAAATTTCACCGTTGGCTGCATTAAAGAACTTAACCTTAATTTTGGCATAGGTCTCTCGACATGGCCATCATTATTATGGTAACTTTGATTTTTACCTCCTCTTCGCTTTGTGTTGTTGCTGTTGCCGTTGCCCACCGATTTCACCCACACACAGGCAGAAGAAAGTGGTAACACAGACGGCCAAGACAGAAAAAACAAATCAGGCAGAAAAATCAAAAAATCTCACAGCAGCCGAAAAAACAAAAACAAAGGTCGGACAAAAATTATGCAAATTCCGTTGGGTTTATTCGATGACTCGGTATATGGCGTTATATAAACCGCGCTGAAGGATGTAAAGTCTGACAAACTGTTTAGCATAATCGAAGCTCGCTGGTTTCGTAATCACCGACCGTGGATTAGAAGCACAGATGCCGTAGCATCCAAAGCCAAAAAAAAGGGGAAAAAATAAACAAGAAATATCATTATAATGGGCGAACAAGGCGAGATGGGGTATAAAGAAAACCCAAAATTGAAAGAAATTTTTATTTTTTGGAATTTTTGCATCACTTTCGCTGTCGCACTGAATAATTAACAGTTCGATTTCGTTTTCGATGAGCAAACCCCCTCCACCCAAAAAAAAAAAACAAAAAATTCAGATTGTGTTATGATAATTTCCGATAAAAGAAAAAAAAACACTACTCACTGTGTTTCACTTTCTATTTTCCTATGCGTTTAATAATTAATTAATGCTAATAACTTTTCACAACCGTTATAATTTATTGACAAAATTCGAAAATGTTCGAAAACAAACATAAAGTGGGAGTGAGAGGGGGCACACACGTGGACTCTTTTTTATATACCTCGTCTCCAAATGCCATATGCAAATTGGGGGACCCAAAACTGGACTTTCGAGGGCCCTCGATTACGTATTGGAATTTTTGGCCCGGCCTGTGGTGAAATTATTAAGAAGTCAGTAAGTCAGTGCACCATCAAAGTGCAGACATGCTGCAATTTTACTTAGAGAGCATCAAGTGGGGGATACAGTGGGTTCTTACTAAATTAAACTCAAGATCTGTACCCAATTTAATAAAATACAATATATATATTAAATATATAATATAAATATTTAACTTAATATTGCTGTTATCAAATGAAATCCCAATTTGATATAACTTAATTTAAAAGAACAACAATATTGTCGGCTTTGGCCTCAGGAATCTCCAGCAAGTTGGTCTACTGTCATTGGTATTGACCAGGCTACTGCCAATGCCACTGACATTATTACGGGCACTCGTTCTTGGACTCGGACTCGAATCGAGACTTTGGCCACTTTGGCCATATTTAGCCACACACACTTTCTTTGCCCAAATAGCCACCAACTGGGTCACAAATGGTGTTTGTTGTCCCGCCCAAGCGGAAGGTCATCAATGGAATGGAATGTCCAGATACCACATATCATCATGCTGTGCTGTGCTGTGTTGTACTGTGCTGTGGGCCACGTACCATTTAAGAGGGCCAAGAAGCGGAGGGAGGGGCAAGGAGGCGGTGCCCAGAAAAATGAAAGTGGAACATGGAGCAGGTTCAGCTGGTCGAGATTTCTGGATTTCTGTATATTATTTACCGTTTCCAGACACAAATGATGCAGTTGGAAATGGAAATGATGTAAGGAAATGGGCACCATTAGAATGGGTGGGCAATGGAAGGCAGATAATACTCGGTAATAAGCCAGTTATGAAAGAATGGATTACCATCATCGCATGTGGCCAAAGTATTTTGGCGGGGGTCCCATTCAAGATTACACAAATTGTCCATGGAGAACAATGTGAAATATGTGTATGAATATGTTATGAATGAAGTGGCGAGTAATGGGGGAAACCATAACGCACACAGTATGGGGCCAAAACCTTTAACAAATGCGTAATACTCATGGGTGAAACTAGTGAAATCTATGATTAAGGTTATATTTACATTTTTATTTAAAATAAAATTAGAAATCTGTAATCTGTAATCTAATATCTAAATTAGGGATTAGATCAAGAGCTAAATATTAATTCATAGAAAAGTACCTCAGATGTTTCAGATGAAGTAACTTCTTTCAGCCAGAAGATTTTGGCCCCACCCAACTTTTTCCCAAACCATTATACATATTCATCTTTAAATAGTTCTGCTCTGGTCTGAACCTTTTGGGTTTCTCCGCCAGTTGAGCTCCAGTTAAGAGCCGCTAATTGATTTGGACATCTTGGGGCGCTCCGAAATCCTCCTCCTCCCCCCCTCACTGCCTTTAAGCACTTGAGGTAAATGAGTCAATAGCTAAAATTTCACTTTGCCATCGGTGACTCCCCCTGCCACCCAAAAATAAGAAAAAAAAACCAAAAATAAAAGCCAAGTTTGAGTTGGCAACGAGCTCCAACTTGTTGGCTCTTAGGAAATGAATGAATTTCAGAGTGGTACGATATGGTATGGTATGGTATGGTATTCTAATGAGCCTAACCCAATTCGTCAATTAAATAACTCTGCGGAGAGATTTCACTCTCGTTTTTTGTCTCTTCGCGGCCTGTTGTTATATTCGGTTTTTAGTTTTCAAAGCCATTGATTTTCGCTGTTAATTTGTTTACTTTGCATTTGGTGGGGGAAGTGCAGGGGGAAGGGGAATAGGAGGGAGGCTGAGATGGAAACGAATCGGGGAGCAAAAGAAGTGAAAGAAATTATGTCAATATTTATTTAAATTCATTTCTTTTGCAAAATACGAGGCGGCCGAAAAAGAGGAGGAAGAATGCGGTGAAATTTAATCGCTGGCCACTTGAAAGCGATTTCCGAGCTGTTGACTTTTGGAATACCTCTCGGTTTTTGTACCCACCTTCGCCTTCCTCAACCGCTCCACTTTGACTGCGATTTCGATTTCGAATTCGGATTCAGATTCCGATTCGGATTCTGCCTACGCAGAGAAATAAAAAACAAATCGCCGCCGTTCTCGTTTTTATATTTTATTGAGATGGCTTAAAGAGCACACTAAATAGTGGCTTTAAAATATGAAATATAAATATTATCGAAATTAGCTTAATAATAATGCTGCACTAAAAATAATTTTATATTTAAAAACTTAATTATCTTCGTGTGGAATTCAAAGATTTGAATTGCATATTTGAGTTAAATACAAAAAACGTAATATTTAAAAGAAAGCTTATTAACATGCATGATTTAATTTTAAAATAATTGAATAAAAGTAGAAAATATGGGATACAATTTATTTAAACATTTTAGGTGATTAACTATTTATTTTTTAATTAATTATTTTTTTTGAATTTTCAATGTACTTGCAAAATATGTCTTTTCTCAAAAGGATTAGCTTTTTAAGAGTTTTATTATTGTGGTTTAATTTTTTTTAAATTTCTTTGAAGTGAAATTTATATCTAGTTTTAAATAAGAGTAGTAAATTAGGCTTTTCTCTTTCGCTAATGTCGCTTCTATATTCATATCTAATTTTCCTTTTGGATCTCTTATTGCAGTTTCCCGACAAGATGACCAGTTCGCGGAACATGCTGCTGATGCTGCTCCTGGTGGCCAGTGCCTCCCTCCTCCAGCTGGAGGCCAAGACCGTCTTCCGGCGCACGGACAAGATATCGGAGAACTTCAAGCAGCTGGATCTGCCGCCCGAGGAGATCGATCCGAATGTGGCGCCCCCAGAATCGGAGCCGCCCAAGGTCGAGGATGTGGCGGATGAGGTGTCTGCTGCAGTGGCTGATGCCGTGACGCCGGCCTCGCTGATCGACGAGAGTGCCAATGAGATTGCCAGCGGCGATGTGGAGACCCCGAATGCGGTGGCCCCAGTTCCCGAGGCAGCTGCTGCTGCCGCCTCAGAAGCCGCCGCTCCCGCCGAGGCAGCTGCTCCGGCAGTGGCCACCACTCTGGCCGCCAAGCCCACCAAGGCCCCGACCACCGCCAAGCCGGAGAATCCGATCAGCAAGTTCTGCAAGTGCTCGGAGACCCACTGCGATTGCTGCCGCAAGTTCGGCCTGCCCCTGCTGCCCAGCGGACCTGGTTGCGCCAAGATTGCCTACCTGGGCAACGACGAGATGAGCGTGTCCCTGAAGTACGGCGACATCACCCTGGCCTCCCGGCGCATCTCCAGCAAGCGGGCCCGCCCCATCTGCGTCGGCCTCCCCGGCGGCTACTCGCAGTTCTGCGGCAAGGTCTACGGCCTGTCCCGCGCCAAGGACTCCAAGGACTTCAAGGCCTGCCTGGCCTTCGAGCTGCGCGCCGACGACGAGGTGGAGGCCTCCCTGCGCGTCTCCTGCTTCAAGTTCGGACCCGAGGGTCTCCGGGTGGCCGAGGCGGAGCCGCTGCCCGCGAAGCCCAGCTCGGATGACGATGACGACGACGATGACGACCTCTTTGGATTTGCCGGTGAGCGGGGATCTTGGGAGGCACAGCTCGATTGGGCTTACCCCAGAAAAAGAGCCTTGCATTTATGTTTATTTTACTTTTTTTATTATTAATTTTTGGGATAAACTCTAAAAATTTAAGGCTACGTTAGACACCAAAAAATTATTATAGGAATTGGCTAATTACTATCCATTTTCATTATGAAACAAGTAATTTTAAAATCAACAAACATTCTAAATTCCAAGGATCTGTAATTCGAATAATTCGTGGGTTATCTTTTGATCTTTAAATACCATTTTGTTTATTTAAATATGGTTACATTTTCTAAATCAGTCGAAAATTAATAGGGATCAGTTTATTAGATTGTTAGCAGTTATTTTTCATTTATTTTGCATTTGTGACAATTTTTACCCAAGTTTAAAAAAACTTTTTGTTTCTGTACATAAAACTTTCTAATCGATTGACATTAAACTGGCTCATTTGATTTCTATTATATTTTATTGCAAAAGAATGTGATGTAACCCCTTATAAAAAATCAAAAATTGGCTGGCTTCTCGATAAAACCATATTGCTTAAACCTTATAGCCTGGTTCCCAATTCTCTAGAAATTTAAAAACTATTTTTATTAATATTTTATACCAAATGCAGACTACCATAGTTATTGGGAAGCTGCGTCGTTTGTTCTCTGTGTTCTAATCTGCATTTCTAATGATCCGGGTTTGAATTTTCCCAGCTGGTGGCGACGATGACGAGGATGAGGAGGACGATTATGACAGCGACAACGATGCGGATACGGATGACGACGACGACACCGAGGACTATGCTGATGACGACGAGGCCGAGGCGCCCGAGGAGGCCGACTACGGTGGCTTCAGCTTGGCCGGACTGCTGGACGAGCTCGATGACGACGAGGACGAGAAGCCGGTGAAGAAGCCGGCGGCGGTGGATCAGACCCGTGAGCATGTGAGTGTCGATGGCCAGACGACCTCGACCTCGACCTCGACCACGACGAACACCGAGGGACAGGTGCAGAGCAAGGACGATTCAGAGGCTCCTGCCGCCGGCGAGGCAGCCGCTGCCGTCGCTGCAGTGGCTCCGGTCGAAGGAGAGGTGGTGACTCCGTCACCCGCATCCGCCGCCGATGACTCCACCACGCCCAAGTCCAAGAAGTCCAAGAAGGCGAAAAAGAACAAGAAGAAGAAGGCCGCCGCCGAGGCGACGGACGAGACAGGATTCGCCTACGAGCTGCTCAACGGCATCCTGGATTTTTTCAACTGAGCGGCCAGCGCGAGTTTGCCAACATGCTGGGCAACAGTGTAAATACCTTGTACCGCCGCAGCTGGTCGGAGGAATATAGATATAGTTTGTAGTTCGTTTAGCGCCTAAGGGTCCCCGCCCCCTTTCAGATTTCACTTATTTATTTCATCTATTTATTCGAAGCAATAATTTATTTAAAATTTAAAAACGAATAAAAGTCGAAAATTTACTACCAAACTCGGTGCAACTCGGTTTGTTTTGTAGGCTTTCAGCATCCGCTTCATTTACATCTAAATCGGAATGCGCTGCCTTTTTCCGGTTGTTGCAGTCCGTAGTCCGCACTCCTCGCACATTTTGCGGCCAAAATTTCTGATTTGATTGAGGTTTGCAGCAGCAGCATCAGTAGTCTGCTGTTTTCACTCCTGTGGCAAATTTTCCGGCCCGGGCCCTCAACTTTGATTAGATTTAATTTGCATCGAAATTCCAGCTGCATTGTGGAATTAGCCGCAGGCCGCCTGAAGTTGACATGATGTACAATAAAAGGACATCTTGGCCAGAACTTTAATTCGCCACAAATCACAGGAGTGGCATTTGATATTTTAACCAGATGTATGCAGATGACAATGAGGCTTACGTTTGATTCGCAAAATGGCAGAGCCAAAGGTGGCCGTAAATTCTAGCCAACAGCAAGTGTCCTTAAAAAGTATATCCTCTTCCTAGTTCATTAGACCTTTAAAATGTGTAATACCTTCTGGTATTAGTCCCCTTTGTCTACAGAACTTACCACTTGCAACTATAATATTTGAATGGCCTCTGTCTACCCATATCACATATCTGGGTCCTAATTAAAAGTAAATTTACTCCTTTTCCCCGCCTGAAGGATGACTGGGGCCTTTCTACTTCCGTTTCCTGCGTGTCGATAGAAGAGGGCCGCCGTGGAAGCGGCATAATTAATATTCACAGCCAGCTATCCTTTAGTTTTTTCCTTTATCCCCCCTTTTTTTGCGGGATCTCGGCATCGCTGGCATTTTGATTAGTCATTTATGGGGCTTTGGCCTCACTTTCGCCTTAGTCCTTTCTGGAACTTTGGGCACGGGAGAAAACAACATTTTTGGAGGTCGTGAAGCTGCGTTGATTAAGTGCCGGGCCATTTGTCGAATTCCGAGGGAAGGAAGGAGTAACTTTTAATTGGAAACTATGCGTTGCATTTATGTGGCTAGGCGTCATCTCCATCTCCATCCCCGGAACCCCTAATTAACCCACCACCCCCCACCAATTTCCTTTACCATTCCCATTAAAATACTTGCGGTTAATGCATATATAAGCTGTAATTAAATTGTACACATAGAGTAAAATATTTATTTATGGTTAAAAGTGTCCATTCAATTTGATTGAATGAAGGTTTCACAAAAAAAATTATGAATTACAAATGCGTATGCATACGTACTAAATCGTGGGTTTCTAAGTATAGTATATTGTGTATGTACTATATTTCCACGTGGAACCATCATTGCCTTTGCTTACCTAAATCAATTGCTTTGCCCGGAAACTTTGAAATCACTCGGAATTAATTCGGGAGAAGAGCAAATTGTCGTTCAATATAGGTATATATGTATATATAAGTATATATGTATGTATAAATATGGATATCAATTACAAATAGAGGTTTCTTGCAACACACACACACATATCATAAATGTTTAACGTACATCAAAAAATGTTGGATAACTATTCATGTATATTCGTGTATAATAGAATCAGCTACAGTATCGTTTTTGATTTGTAAAGAATTTTGTAAGTCAAAAAAGTGGTTTTTGGTTTTCGCATGGGAATCCTAGGTGTTCTTCACCCGCCGTTTTGATTTGATTCGAACGGAGCGAAATGGAAAGTAGAATGTAGTACGAAGGGCAAACTATAAGAGACAGATAGGTAGGAAACTCCGTTCGCGTATCACACGTAAATGATATATAAGAACAAGTGTACCTCTAGTCTTATGGATTCCCATCAAAATGCAGCTCAACTTGTCCGAAATTCGTAAAGATTGGTTTAACTTAACTTATCGCACTCAAATGGCACGGAGTAAAACGTGTGTGTAAATATTCCATCGTATATAGTTTGTATACATATAGGTATAATAGGGATATATAATCATATAAGATATATTTGTATCCAAGTAGCTTTGTATACCCAACCATATCCATCTGATAGGTAATTTGTATATGTAATCGCAAATGATCGTGTTAGTAGTGTATGCGAAATGGGTCAGGAAGTGGAAATTCAGGTTCTCAGGTTGTGTTTTCTTTGATCTAGGATATATGTTTGTGTGGTTCTTTTCGTGTGCCGTTGGAGGAGCAGTAAAATCAGTCTCGATTTTGAAGTAGTAGGTAGTGGTTAGGTTAAGTTCCGAAGTGATTCTGTCCGTGAGAAAGTCAAGTCTGAGTGCCCTCAGGTCCTTAGGTTCCTTCCCTCGACCCAGCTTTATGTCCAGTTGTCGCTGCCCTTCCACTTTGGGATTTCCCCTTCAAATCTCCTTCTATTTATTATGTTTTCTAAGCCTCTAGGTTACTGGACTCTCAGCTGAGTTTAATGGTAGTAAAGGTCTTTTAGAAAAAAAAAAAAAAATATTAGAAAACAATATAACAAAAAAAAATATATAAATTGATAGCTTATTTAAATGCACCATAAATTATTTCTTAAGTTTAAGGTTTTTAGGAACTTAAATAATTACCAAAAGGATTTTATTAGGGGTCTAAGTTCTCGAATTTAAAAGCTTGCTCAAATGTAATACTGTTATTTTAAACATAGTTATGAATGGAGTCGAAAAAGGGGCACATTTAGAAAGAAGTCGCCGAAAGGGAATTGGATCTTTATTCGTTGAATGCCGTGTAATATGTGATCGCTTCGTTTCCTTCCAAATCCCCACATTCACAATTCGTTGTTCCGTTCGCTTGTATTTTTCCATGTCCATTTCCAGCTTTTCCGTCGTTTAGTGGAAGCTCCGATCGAGATTGGCCAATTTCGCATGCACCATACCCAATACGACCTCCTCTCGTTTTCCCCCATCAGTTTCTCCCCTAAATACATCTTACGTCTTTTGCGTTTCGGGCAATACATATTTCATTCCCTGCCTGCATTTTCCATATTTTTTTCAATTGTTTGACGTGAGTGTGTGCGGGGGAGTTTTGTGCGGCTGAGTGTGTTCATTTTTTCAATTTGTTTAAGTTTTTCTTTTTGTATTTGTTGACTTTGTGTACCAAAGACTTTGTGTTGTTGCTGTCGCTTGTGCATACAGCCCAAAAATAATGTGGAAACTTTCGTTTATTCTTTGTTCTCTTTTGTATTCGGGTGCTTTAACCTGCCATTCCCGGTTCCCTTAAAAACCCTTACAAGTCTCAACTACCTCGGTTAAATTCGGTTACCAACAGAAATAAACAACTAAAAATCTTGTTTCAAATTTACGTACAAATAATATATTTTTCCAAATCAAAATTTAAAAAAAAGCAATGAACATAATTGATTTCATAATTCTGGTGGTGTTTTATAAAATTAAAAATCAAATTAATATAATCAATAACCTGCCGTTTTCTTAAAACACCTTCTGCTAGAGAACCTTTTGTATCCTTTTGCTATGTAATTTGCGTTAGTTTGCGGTTGGTAGTAGCTTCTAGGAAACTCGCACGACCACCCTTCTGCATCCATACTTTCATGGCCTTTTCCATTTCGAGACAGTATTGCAGGCTTTGGTTAAGCTCATTAAGGTTTTTGCTTGACTGCCTTGAGTTCCATCGACCGACGGAATTGAAAAGGGAGCCGGGGAAACTTAGGGGGCGTGCAGGTTTTTATTTCCCCTCAGCCATTTCAACAGAGATTTGATGCGATATGAATAGTTGCTCATTTTTGCTGATATCGCTTAACATTGATAAGTTCTTAACATTGAATATTTTATGTGTAATATGATGCCTAGTCCCAGGTAAGTCCCTGCTCGGGCGCCAACACAGGCAATACCATTTTCTCTGGATTCCTTTATAAATGTTTAACAAATATTTTATGGGACAACATTGTTCCAAATATTCTATACCAAATTTTTTTTCTCGCAGAAAGGAATTCCAGAAAAACAAAGACTACCTTCACGGGCTGGCCTGATATATTGTATGCTCTCTACATTTGCATCTAAACTTGTTTTCTGATTGTTCTTGTTGTTGTGTTCGTAGTGCTGATGATTTCATGTGTATTTTCGGTATTCTTTACCACACGACATTTAGAAGTGTAAAATACTTATATGTCTATTTCTTGATATAGTGCGCGCAAAAAAAATTGTTCTTCCTTCTTATAAACTTGGCGCTAGACAATTATGTTTTAAATATATATCGTATTTCGGCAATAGCCAAACGAGCAGCAGGTTTTCCAAAGAACTCTCACATTGCATTTATAGTAAGTAAACATATAGAAAAAATAAGTATTTCAATACATATATTACCCACATTGGTAATGGAAGGTCTAGTGAAGAAGCAACTATAAGACTATCACAAAGAAATGTAAATGTAAGTAAATAATTTAAATGTATCCAATATAGTAAAAGGTGTTTTAATATTTGAGCAATTAAGCTGGACCGTTGGCACAATGAAATCGAATTTCATTAAAAGGCGTGCCACCATAAAAAAGGTTGTAAAGTTTGCAATGGTGTAAACAATTTTGCACTGCTCTTTTTGTTTGTTTTTTTCTTATTTATTTTCTTTGCCTTTATCAATATTTCATGGTCTGACTAAAAAAAATCGTTTCCGTTTTTGCACGTTTATCCATTATCTTTAGCTACCTATCCATGTTCATCTAGTCTGTCTATATGTGTTGTAAGGTCCATTCCTTTTATGCTTGAAACTCGCCAGAAACCACGCGTTTAATTATGACAAGAAACCTCAAAAAAAAACGACATCAAAATGGGTGCAGTATTTTGTGTTAGTATCCCTTTATATATTGCCTTTGCGGTTGTTTCCTGTTTCTCAAAAAGCATGTGCCACTTAACAAATCGCCAGTTTTTTTGTTGTTTTCTTTTTTTGCTGCATTACAAATTTTTTTAGCGGATAGGACTCGGTTTTCATTTGCATAAAATGTTTACCTCTCTTCTTTTTTTAGATTTTCGATTTTGTAAAATTTGCTGATCAATATTTTTTGTTTGTCAAGAAAATTATTGTCCGCATTGCAGCGCCACCTACCGGTTCGGTTTGGGGTGAAAAGGAGTGTGTTTTGTTTCGATTAGCCAGCATCAAAATCTAAAGGTTTGAAATCACTTAAAAAGGTCCCTTTAAGTATGCGATTCATTTTTTTATCCGGAAGTTGCAAATATAACCACCGGAAGACAAGTTTTTTTCTAAAATACACTTTTAGCTACCTTTTAAAGCGGGTTTCAAAATCTCTAGATATTTCTTTGGCAATAGTTTTTGCTTTACAATTTTATTTGGGTCGCTTTTGGCAGACCAATTGCAGCTGCCCTTTAAACAATGAAAAATATAAAGGTCTAATACTGCAATTGTCCGCTGACCTCTCAAAACGTATGATGTTGTGTGTGTCCCTGTAATTTTCTTTGAGGGCTACTAAACTGGATGACTTCCTCATATGCTGACCCCTTCTGCACTCCCTGCACTTCCGTGTTCGACTCCACCGCGGTTTGCGCTGCTTTTTCGTTGTGCCTGCTCTCTTGGTCTCTGGATCCCTGGATCTCCTGCTCCTGCTACTGCTCCTGTTCCCGTGTTCCTGCTACTTCTCGATAATACTCCTCCTTCTATATTCCTTCTATGTACATTCAGTCTATACTTCCTACTTCCTATACTATCTCAGCTCCTCGAGCTGCTTAAATCACGAATAGATCGCTGCAGCTGGAGGAGTTGCGCCGCTTGAGGCTGATGGCCTTCTTGAAGCGCAGCACCGACGAGATGAATACCTTGGTGCGGGCGGTCAGTTTCTTGACCACCTTGCGGTTGCAGGTATTCCTTCGTCCACCATCGACTCCTCCTCCTCCTGATCCTCCTCCTGCTCCGTCCTCGGCACCTCCGTCCACCTCCAGCTCCAACTCATCATCGCTGTCAGCCAGACCGAATCGCTCCTCCGCCGCCAATCGTCCCTCCAGCTGCAAATCATCCATCGCCCGGAGCTGATAGCGCCGCTGCAGCTCGGCGGCCGCATCCGCTGCGGCAGATGTGGAAACGCCGCCGTCGAACGAGCGACGCTTGCGAAACGGACGCCGATGCCGTATAGTGGCCGCGAGCATATTGAATTTGCTGAGGGGCGTCGGCTTGACCGCCCCCGTCCCGCCCCCGCCTCCTCCTCCTCGTCCACCTCGCTCTCGCCCATCTTCAGAATGCTCTCCAGATTGAGGGGCTTGCGGTTGGGATTCTCGATCCGCGACCGGCTCGCCCTCGACGTGCTAGGCACTCCGTCCGGATCGCCGCCGTTGGCGTCGCCGTTCGGCAATCTCTCCTGCAATCCGCCATCGAAGATCTCCTCGTCGCCCTGGCAGACGCTCATCTGGCGGACCATTCGCCGCGTCTGCAAGTGCATGCCGCGGTGCTTCTGGATCGTACTCTGCAAGTTCAGCCGCTGCAGCTCCAGCTCCGTTAGCAATCGCAGCCGCTGCGGATTGAGCTTCACCTGGGCCACAATGCCGACCAGCAGCTCGTCCACATTGTGGTCCAAACCAGATGAAGTCTCGATAAATTTGCAAGCTATATCTTTGGCCACCTTGCGGCCCACTGAAATTCGAGGGGTTAGGAAAAATGGGGGTAGTGTGTAAGTTCATAATGAAGAATATGTTGTGTGTCTGCCAACCAACTGGATTAATCCTAAGCAAATCCTAAATCTTTAATAAACAATTTATATTTTCAAAAATTGTTATTTAAATTGGCATAGATTTTTTCATTTAATTTTTAATTGCATTTTGTTTAAGTGACCCTTATTTTCTGAAATGTCAATATCTTTAGAAATTAAAGGAATTTTTTATACGCGATGGATGTTTTTTTTTTTTTTAATACGCAATCCTTATCTGCCTTTAAACAAATCTTAAATTTTATTTTCTACTTATTATTTATTGTTATTATTATTTCCCAATTCGACAAAAAAACAATACAAATTATAAAACAAAACTCACAAAATACAAATCATTGTGGATCTTTGACTTTTTTTCTTGATTTTTTTGTACGAATTTTCCAAGTAAAATATGTTTTTAATATATTCTTAATGAACACTTTGCAGAGCGATTCAACCCAGTCAGTCAGCGAATTCACGGGCTATGAACACATATATGATATGTAGTATTAAATGGAATACTCACTTTGACGCGTAACGACGCGATGGCGCTGCAAATCCGTTTTGTTGGCCACCAAAATGGCTCCGCGGGACAAGAGCATCTCGTTCTCCTTGAGATACTGCAGGACCCGCTCGGCCGCCGCGAAAGTGTTGCGATCTATCACCGAGTAGACCACCACGAAGAGGTCGATGTTGTAGGTGGCGCAGAAGGCCTCCGTCTAAAGGGCGAAACAAATTGGTTGCGGGAAAGCGCAGAACAAAAAAAAAAGAAATCAAGATAGAGATGAACCATATGGTGCACAAAAGTAGGCACGAAAACGAAAATCGTTCTAATGAAATTTCCAAGCGGGCAAGGAGTGGGAGTAGGTGGGGTGTTGATGGCAAGGGGTGGGGTGGGAAAAGACCACCACCCACTCGAGGATGAGCCGTGCCCCCAGTTCATGTGAGACGCTTGGCTGAACGCCTTTTGCAGCTGACCTTGGTCAGATTAAAGACTTGAAGCTCCTCAAGTCAACAAAATAATTATTTTAAAATAATTGAATTATTTACCGAATATATATATTTAATCTGTTCAATTAGATTCTCTTTGCAACATCTCCCAAAAGTAACCTTTCTGTATAAACAGTATATATTTTTGAGTTCCAATATTAAAACAGCATTTGAAAAAAAATCAGAGAAGTGCCCGATTTGATTCCCTCTTAAAGAGAAATCTGCTGAATGAAAACTCCAGGATACTTTAAAAATGCCTACGCCATCACTTTGTTTCTTCTTTAAAGTGATGGCAGAAACACAAAAGTGTTAATGACATTTGGCAAATGTGTCAGAGGCAGATGGCTCTTAGCCCACAGCCTGATCCACTCAACCAGACTGGGAAAATCGGAAAAATCCCCAGCCAGATGAGAAGGGTCTGAACTGAACTGAACTGAAAATGAGGGGCTTTTGTTTGGGTCAACTACTTTCTGGGAGGTGCAACCACTAATTTCTACGCTTACTCACCGACATCTCGCATGCGGGATGATCAATAATTTCCAAATCCGTTTCAATGTTATCGACTAGCACCGATACCGTCTTCTGTCCATAATCATCATCTAAAAAAAGGCAAAAAAAAAAATAGAGAGCCTTTGCCAGTCGTTCCCTTAGTTTGAAATCTTACTACATAGGTTTCTAAGAAATAATTGGATTGTGTATAGTCAACTACCCAAGCAGGAGTGCGTTGTTCAAGCGTGTTTTCCAAGAAGTGCATTTGCGAATATTACTACTATATACTACTGTAAAAAAAATAGAAGAAAGCCACCCCGAGAGTTTTCAGGGAAATCAAAATAACAAGTTCTTAAATGCAGTTTCAAGGGTCTAAAATCGATTAAATTGCACCAGAGGCGGCGACAACCTTTGGGGGGCGTGTCGCCCATAAAACCGTAATCAAAGTGATTTTATTTGCCCAGCAAGTTAATGTCGCAATTGACGCTCCCCCTTTCTCTGTCTACATTGACTCGTTTTTTAAGCGAGCCATAAAACGTGGAAAAGGAGGCAGACAGTGAACTTGTAGTGGAGGGCAGGGAGTGCAGGGAACCGGGTCTGGGAACTCGGAGCTCGCAACTCGCAACTCGGGACCCCGGACTCGTAAAGCCTTCTTCTCCGGTGGTGCACACGGAAAGTGCTACGTCACCGCAGCACTGTCATACAAAATAACAAGGAACTTATGCCTTGAAACTCGAAAAAATGCCAGTAGGTTTAAATTTAATTAATAAATATAATATCAAATAAATTAAAAAATATATAAATATTGTATAAATAGATATTGATATATTTATTTTAAAATACTTTTTCTTTTTCGTGGCTATTATAAAAAGTCTGCAAAATGGTACAGGTTCTTGTGATATTAAAAATATGGCTTGCTTTAAAGGATTAAAGGCTTAAATATATATATAGGCTTAAATATATAGTATACTATTTTTAACGCAGATGATATATTTTGTTCTATTTCGATGCTATTATTAAAAGTCAGTAAAGCTTTAAATATTTTTGAGATATTAAAAAAATGGGTTGCTTTAAGAATTTTGCTTAAATGGAAAAATAGGGAAATTTATTAAGATGACCTAATGTGTGGACAACAAAATAGTAAGCATTTAACTAATTATAAAATATATATCATAAAAAGTTCACGAGGATTTATTTGGGTACTTGATTTTCCCTAGCTTTAACTAGGCAATTTTTCTAAGTGCATGAGCACCGCCCAATACACGCTTTGTCAGCAGTTTGACACGGGCCAACACGGACCAGGATGGCGGGGCAGCTCGGGTGGCCGGAGTAGCAGGACGAAAAAAGGACTAAAGGACCTGGGAAGGAGTCGCAAAAGCAGACAATGACTGCAGTTTGCGTCCGACTCTGTTTGCATTCAGCTGTGGCAAATATTTAGACGCCAGTCGACCCGCATCTGCCAATCCACATACCCATCCCTATCCCCTTTCCATTTCCCAACCAAACCCAATGTGGCTAAATGACAAAATAACAAAAGGAAAGGAAATGGGAAAAAAAACAGGGCCCATACTCCTCCGCTTAATTTGCATGTTGCAAGTAATTTTCCGTGCGTGGGCGGTGCCGCACAAATTGAATAGAAAAAGCAAACGTGCTGTTTGGCCGTATTCTCCGAGTGCCACAAGCCTAGTGTAACCTCATCCCTCGTCCCCCAACAAAATGGGACTCTGGGTCCTTTGGGCGGCTTAGCCGATTAGTCATGCAATTGACAAGCGGCGAAAGCCAACCGTGTCGAGTCATTTGAATGCAATTATACAAATGCCCCTGCAAATCAAACCAAAGGAAAGCGGCAAAACTCTGCAAACCTGTGGCAGCCCCCGCGATTTTGGCGGGATTAAAACAGGATTCACAGCGCGTGTGTCTGTGGTCTTTCTGGTGTATATTATTAGACCCTAATGACAGTGTTCTGTCTGAAATTAGTGGGAATTATTAAGGCTCAATAGTTCCGGTTTTAGCCCAGCAAAATCAGATATTGCAACACCTGGCTTTTATTTAGTCTATTTTTGAACACGAGCAACAGGTACAGCCGTGTTTGAGCTATTTAGTGCCTTAAAAGGCAAGTTTAGTTATTCAGAAAAGCAATTAAAATTATATAGAGAAAATAAACTATTTATTTCTAGAATTGTGCAAAATTATTTTAGTTGCTATAAGAGTACAATTGTGCAAATCAGTTAATAATATATTTGACTACGTAAAACCCAGCCTAAATTCAACTAATATTAAGGCTAGGCTTGGTCTATTTTCTAAAATCACAACCACTTAGATTTACTCCAAACGGACATGGCATGTAATAAATTTGCCATCTTCTTTCGGGGGCGTGTCGGAAGCAGTTTCGCCGCCCCCAGGATTTTTGTGGTCATGCAACGCTGGCGGCCATTAGCAAAAGATGGCTAAGACGACGCCCACACGCAAATCTGGTCAGGAATTTGCGTGTCCTGCAGGAAAGCATTCTAATTTCGAAACGCTGCTGCTGCAAAAAGGAAACCGCACACACGCAGGCTTCAAGCAGTGGTCATCCTGCATCGGAGGGACTAAAAAACTAGGAAACAGTTGCAGGACAATCCATCTATGGTAATTCGCCACAAATAGTTAACAAACAAAAGAACACAGACCAACACACATACACAACTGTCATAAAGTTCGCCTTTGCTGCTGGGCTAATTAAAACTCAGAGTTTTATTATCTCGACAAAACAGAGAGCAGCAAATTCCTGCGTGAACTGCAAAGGCTTTTCTTTGGCCCTCGGGCCCGATCCTGCTTCAAATGCCAACAGAGGCCGAATATTCTCATACATATCAGCGTGGCCATCACGCAATCAACAGCACACAGAAAAAAGTGGTTATGATAATCTGGAGTTTTGGTAAAAATATGAATTTTTTCTGTTAGCTTTTTTGCGTTAACTTGGCCAAAAATGGTCCTACACCAAAAATACGTACTGTTTTGAACAGATAACTAAATATTAAATAAAGCCATGACACTTTCTTGGAGATCTTAAAAAAATAAAATTTTCGTAATTTTCAATTTTTTGATAAGGGGGTACATCATGATTTTTTAAAAATGTCCAAAAAATAAAATGTTCTTTAAATGCCAATCGCTTGGAAATTTAATAACGAGTTCAGAAAGGTATGCTGTTTGGAACAAGATTTTTATTGTTACGGTCAAAAAATAATTCTTTTTTTTTTAAAAATTGGAATCTGTGTTTTTGGTAAAAATTTGTTTCTTTCTCTGTCACTTGGCAAAATGTCCCACCAATAAAACATACTGTTTTAAACCGAGTGATCTTGAAAAAATAAAATTTTTTACGAAAAATGTAAAAAATTTAAATGTCCAGGTTTAAATGCCAATCGATTGGAAATTTAATAACGAGTTCAAAATGGTATGACAATCTATATTTTCGGCCAAAAACTAATTCTTTTTTTGTGGAATACATACATACACACTTTTATGGAAGATTTGAACGCCCTTACGATTTCTGTGGCCTCTCCAATATTAAGTAGACCTTTCAATTTGCGTTTATTCTCTGTGGGCTGGGCAATCCCTTTCAAAATCCCTTCCAAAATCCCTTTTAAAATCCACCCAGAAATCCAATATCAGGACCAGCCCCTACGCAACTGCTATTGTTGTGGCGACACACGTGTGCCACCAGTTGCACCAGCTGCAATTATCTGCTGCTAATAAAATATATTGAGTTTCGGCAACTTTTGCCATGATCAGATTACCTAGGCCAGGACTCAAGCCGTTGTGATATAATATAGCACACGTAATTAACTCAGTGCCATCCATTAAAGTCCGCTGCTCAAAAGGTAATTCGATAGTGCTGCAATTCAATTAATTCGACTTCGAGGAGGACAGCGTGTGGAGAACTTTACGCAAGGCGCTGGCAGGTGTGGTCTCCTGCATCTTTTGGTCTCCATTTAATTAAGTCCATGTTCGACCAATGCAAAAAGAGTTCAGAGTGTCCAAGGGAAGGCTTAGCCATTTTAAGGCAAATCTGGATGCAACTGAACATTGGAATATAGCTTATCATTGCCCTTCATTTGCTTTAAAGTTTAAAATGTTGCCTCCAAGTGCTGACTTTCCATCGGAAATAGAAACACTACACTGAAGCGCAGTTTATTTGCGCCTAATGCGATTTTCTGACCGAGAAACGGAAAATTCACTCTGGAAATCCACTTAAAAGCTCCAAAGCGGTTATCAAAGTGGGCTGGTGGCAACCAGAACCAGCAATCCAGCTACCCAGCAACCAGCATGCCCATATTCTCTAGCTCTTCCCACACTCCAGATCCGGTGATATGGTCGCGAAAGTTAATGAAATTAGCGCTGGCGCTTTTCATATTTTATGACTTTGTGCCATAATTAAAATGCAAATGTGTTTGATTAAAAGCCGCACAGTGCGGGGAAGCAGGGGGAATTTCACAGAAGTGAAGGAGCGACTTCGTTTTCAATTACTTTGCCTAACATGTGCCTGGACGAGAATAAATTTGGGGATTTCCCTAAACTATAGGTTCTCCCGTCTCCCAACAAACATCCTTGTTATTGTTGAACCCCATGGAATGCTAAAAGGTAAATGTCTTTCAAAAACAGTTCAGTGTATTAATCTATTATTATAAAAATGTCTGTAAGTGTTTCAAAACGTGATAATAAAGGTTCATTCATCAAAACCTGACAAACTACCAACTTGTATTATTTTATAAACTCCGTATTAAATGCTACAAATTAATTACTATGCAATACTTTATGTGCAATTTATATGTACAAATATCTACAAAATAAACAAGTTATCTACATTCGCTTAGGAGATTGAGAAATTAAATACGCTATTTGCTATATTCGGTTATGCGGACTGTACATTAGTGCAGACTTAAAATCCAACAGAAAGTTATATCGTGTGATATTGAAAGTGAACTTTCGATTGGCGGTGACGACTTCGGTGGCAGGCCTGAGATAAGAATAGTTTTTACATTGCCAAATCAAAAATTGCCAATTAGAAAACGTGATTGATAAATAACGAATGCCGATGATGATGACGATGATGACTTACCGAGACTCAGGTCGTATGCGCAAATGTAATCGGAAGTGGTGAATTGGTAAGTCAGTGTGGTTTTGCCCACTCCGGAGCCGCCGAGCATGGCAATTTTGTAGGCGGGCACATTGGGATCCCCGTCGATGACTTCGCCCGATGCCCCCGATGCGTTGCTACGAAGATACAGGCAATAACAATCATAAGCGAAAAGGCCGCGGCACAGTGGGACAATTTTACTTATTAAGCTTAAAAAAAGGATTACCTTAAAACCGAAGTTAAATATAAGAACATATATCTCTTTGTTTTAAAAGCTTTTCAGTATTTTCAGGTTTTTAAATTAATAAAAATATATACTAAAAAAAATTATATTATCTACTAAAATTAAATAAAATACAAAAGCTCAATATATAATAATCTCAAATTTATAATTAAAGCTTTTTTTATTTTTTATATTTTTTTTTTATTTATTTCATAAACATAATCGTTTGGTCTTTAAATTATAATCGTTTTTTTCCTTTGGTGTGAAATCAAACGTTTACCTATCAATAACTCAACATTGCAAATTCTACGCAAATACAACAAAGTGTTTCACTGTACAAGGATGCCGACATTTCCTTTGACAATGAGATGGAAAACGCCTCGCCATTGTTACGACTCATCTTCATCTTTGGCTCCCCACACTCCAAACTGCTCCGTTGTTAATGGCAGCGGAAATTGTTTGGTGTGGAAATTGTATGAAATTAGTCAGACTATATAGACGTGAAAATGGCGTACGCGCCGCATTGTTGTCGCCATGTGAACTGTCATTTCATAAACAATTTATTGCCAGCCAGCAGCCAGCAGCCACTTTTGTTCACCGAACATTGAGCCAATGAACCACTGAACTCACCTATTGTGTCGATCCACGCCGCTGTTTGAAGTGCCCGTGGAAGTCACGGAATTGATCGAACGTGACCTGCGGCTTCTGTTTCCGAAAAGAAGTGAAAAACGAAACACACAATGGCAGAGGCTGGGAAAAACGAGAGCGTCGGGGCTTTAAGAACTTACCTTAGGGAATCGCCCAGGTTGCAGATGCCATGCGAAGTGATGCTGAAGCTACGCAGACGGTAGTAAGTCATGTCCGGATCACCGGCATGGATGGCCGAGCGTCGCATCTCCGCCAGGCGGGGCTGGAAAAAATGTTAAAATAAAAAACATTTCAGATACAGCTCGTCCAAAAAAAATATGAATTAACTAAAATGGCAAGAACAAAATTAAAAAAAAATAGCGCCAAGGCAATGTTTGCTTTTACTTTGCAGCGTATACGTAATAACGTACATATAAATATTACGCATACGCACCGATGACTTTTTAATAAAAACCGTGTGAGCGTACTTGAAAGTCAATAAATCCGGTCATACATATTTAAACAACTTGTAATAAAAATAGACCGAAAAAAAGAAATACTAAGCCTTGATGAAAAGTATTTGGGGGCCAAATAAATAAATGCCCTGGCACAAAATACCCAATCGGACCGACTGCCAATGTTTGATTTCATTTAAGCAGTCCAATAAGGTGTGAATAAAGCCCTTTACGAACGGATTCCGAGCTTTAAGACACCTCCTGCAGTGCCTTTGAGCCCGAAGCGAGTACCAAGTGCCGAGTACAAAGTACCAAGTCGCATTTTCCCGGCTCCTGTTCCTGCCAATTGCAGGGCGATGGCCCCCGATGGGCTTACCAAACCCACACTCACTCACACACATATTTGCGGTTGGCCTTTTGGGCCATCACGATGGTGGCACAAAAGTTTCTGCACTTTTTCGGCTGCCTTGGGGGCTTTAGGCCCTCCGGTTCCTTTTCCTTCTTTTTTTCTTGCTTTTTTTGTTTGCCGAAGAAGAGGTGAAGTGTGAATGGATCTGGGACTGCAGTCGACAAGTTTGCTCCTTTTCGGTGTCGAGTGTGCCGCACACTTGACACTATTCCGCATTTAATGCTCAACCCCGACTTCAGACTTGGCCAAATCCGAATCCAAATCCAATCGCAATAGCAATCCCTTTGGCCGGGAGCCATCTACATTCTACGTGCTTGCCATTGATTCCTTTCTGAAGGTTCTCGCTCAGTTTAATTGCAAGCAGCGCTTGCACACTTGCACACTTGCATTGGAATCAATTTCGAGACGGCAGACGACAGACGACAAACGGTAGACGGTAGACGGGCAACTATATAAAGTTTTGTGCCGGATGAAATGATGAAAGCCTGGGGGTCAATGGCCAACGACTGCTCCAGTTTTCTTCTTCGCCGCTTTGCCGCTTTTGAGTCCCCAGCGACTTTGGCAGGTGGCAGGAATTCCAGGTGGCACGTAGTTCGCGCAGCACGCGTTGCACAATTTTCGCTCGAGCAATTTCACAAACTAATTACATTAGCTGCAGCGACTACAGCGACTAGACAACTGCAAGTCAGCCGAAGAAGCGAGGGGATTATGGCCCCACTGCCACAATCGCAGCCATAAATCCACATTAATGACACACAAACGTGGGACAAGTGGATGGCACGACCTTTAAATACCCATCGAGTATATATTGAATTTGGTGACCTAAGTTGGTATCTTAGGTCATTGTTGTCATTCCTTAAACTCAAATTCTTTAGGTTTTTAGTAAAAAAGAAAGTCTATAATCAGAATATAAATACGACCTGGTGAACAAATCGCTTTCCTACAGACCAAATGTTTTTTACTTTAAGACGCGAATTCTTTAGGTTTTTAGCTAAAAATAATAAAAAATAATACTTAGGGTGTTTATCAAATAATAATCAAATTGGTCAAGTTGGGGTACCATCATTAAAGCTAAATCTAATTTTAGAACAAAATAAAATAATTTAAAAAATTATGCAAAATTTAAAAACGTTAAATTATTAATTTTGTATTTAAATGAAAAATGTTGGTTTACCTAGTTTTGAGATAATATATCAGGTAAACTTATTTTCAAAACTATGTCTTTAAGTAACTTACTTCTAAGGTACAAAATACCTTCAAACTCTGAGACTGCCATAATAAAAATACAAAAATGTAGCATAGTCAAGTGGGAGTGCACTTAACTTGCCCGCTGATTATGGCGATTTTTCAAATGTGCCAAAAACGATACAGGAAAACACTAGGATCAAGTGGGTCTGGTCGCTGGGGGATAGGTGGAAGTCGGGACATGATAAGCCTGGCAGCCGCCCCTCCCACGAAAAAGGAGGCTCAGCCAGCAGCCAATGACCCGGGAGCAGAGGGCCAAAAGTAGAACCATGTATCAAATGCTTACTCATGCTGAATGCTACAAACTTGGCCCAAACCACACAGCTACTCCCACAGAAATTCCTACACACAGCGCCCCTCCCCCAAGATACATGTGTAATCTTTGGTTTCTTCGTCTTGTATACACATCTAGCTTTTCTTCTTGTTTTTTTTTCCTGGTGTTTTTTCTTGGGACTAGTGCCACTATTAAGAATATTTCACTGCTGAGTGGAGTGCTAATGGCTGTCCTTAAATGGCTTTTGTTCCCCGGGCCGAGTTTCAATTACTTGTCGTCCCATGTCGGTGCGATAATCCCCATGAGCCTGCTCCTTGAACTGGCTTAACTGGTTCCCGCATCGAGTGACTATGCAGTTGCCAAATTTAGGCGAAAATAAATAGTTTCAATGACTGCTCAGTTTTGTGGAAGGTTGGGCAGGTATGTGACTCGAATACTTAATATGTTTAGAACATTATTTACCCCCGATTAGGTTTAAATACATCTTATTTGTATATCATTTGTCAAAATTATAATTCAATTGGCTCGAAAGCAGGCAGCGCATGATGTCCTTTTTTTTTTTAATCTTAATAAATAAGAAAATTATATTTAAATTGAAGACGCGAATTCTTCAGGTATTTCGCTAAAAATGGTAACCAATAATGTGTAAACTGAATATAAGTACACCCTTTTAATAACTTTAAGGATTTATCCTTCACCGATTAATAAATAAATTTTATTAAAATTAAAAAATGTAGCTAATTTTAATTTTACTTATTTATTTACTCACCCTGCGACTTTCTGCCGGCATGCTGGAGGTCCTCAAGCGCTGTCGCTCGGTCATGGGTTTTCCGGACTGGGAGGCCAAGACCACGGAGGCGGCCAGATCGGCGATGACGGTGCCTGAAGTGCTGGCTCCCGAGGATTCGCCCACGCCTCGTTCCCGCTGCATTGGCAAGTGGGTGGGCAAAAGCTGCTGCTCCTGCTGCAACTGCAACTGCAGGAGCTGCTGCTGCTTCTGCTGTTGCTGCTGCTGCTTGCTGGTCGGGATCATGGAGACCGGCGATGGGGAGTCGGTGGAGTCGCCATTGCCATCCGGTCCACTAGTCACCTCGGCGACAGCAGCTAAGGTGGTGCTTGATCCACCGAGAAACCCCAAGCCCACGGTCAAATTTAGATTATGCGCCGATCCGCCGGGTAGACCACCACCACCCATGGCCTCGGCTCCCACCATTCCGGGTTTCTTCTCACCGGAACCGGAAGCCTGGGGATTCATTGAGCCCACGGTGCCATATTGTGGTGAGACCGCTCCGGACATGGCCTGCTGAAAGGTCAAAACTCCGGCCAGGGACATGCGATCCCTAAAACACGTATGAATAATTAAAGAAAATGATGATGATGTAATTAATATTAATTGTTATTAAGTTCGAACCTTAAAAGGGGGATTTTCTATGAAATATAGATTAAAGGGGTTTAGAAATACCTAATCCTTTGCTAAATATATTTTTAAGACTTGTTATGCTTAATTTAAAAGCGATTCTTTTTTTCTGTGTACCTGCAAACAGGTAAACAGGAAAGGTAAATTGCATTTCAACTCATAATTAGGTCACTTAACGGGCTTAAATATTTGCTTAGATAAATGTTTGCGAAATTATCATCATGTTTTCCGAAGTTCATTATTAATTCAGCGGTTAGGAAAAGCTCTTAAATTGCCTAACAAAGAAAAGGCTTGCTTTAAGATTTCCATTGAAACTTCTGGTTTTCCAGACGAAAAGCCATAAATGTGGTAAACTTTTAGCCAATTAAAATATGCATCCTTTTCGAAATAAAATGTTGAAAAAAGTGCAAGCTTTTTTCCGAGAAGCAGAAGCTCTCCCACCAGCCATTTGCTAGTGAATTGTGAATGGAATAAAGCGTAAAACATTTCAAAAAGCCATTTGGCATTAAATCTGCAGCTTCCATCTCGAGAAAGCAACCCATTGGGCCAAGGTCGCCCTGGGACGCCAAAGACAATGGCAAGTTGTTTGGCCCACAAGAAGGCGACAAGAGGTCACATGTTGAGGGCTCTAGGCGGTCGGGGTCACCTAATTAGGGTGGCCCTTCTTTCCCTTCTCCCTTCCCACCTGCCGGGCATTGTTGCAAAGTTTTTAATTATCATTTTTTCTTGTTTATGACTGGACGCCTTCTGCGAGGACTTCTGCCCCAAGCTGCTGCTTAATCTTCTTTAGAAATGGAATGAATGTTGAATATGTTTTTAAAGAAAGGGAAACCCGACGAAAGTCATTTAAAATGTATAAGGCCATACCGAGGAGTAATGCAAATTTTAATAGCTATATATTTTTATAAATCCTCTTAAATTACCTGGCGCTGCTGCTGTGGGAAATCCGTTGAAAATCGTTGGGGTCGATCGGAGCTCCGCCGATACTGTTCCGTGTGTACGTATAATCCGAGTGCAATAAATTTCCGGCTATCGATGAGGCGCGACGTCTGTTCAAAATCGGGGACTTCTGGGCCCTCAGACTCTGCTATGAATTGTGATGTGATCAAAAATAAACAGACAAATTGAAAGCGGTTAGCGGTGTCGCTGAAAAAGAACTTTGTGTTACAGGCAAATAAAAATTTAATGCAGTATAAATATTTAATGGTTTAATTAATTTGTGTTTAAGTGTCGGTTGGTATTTAACTATAAACATTGGACCGCAAGCCAATTATAATTGCAATTTAAAGTGTCAAATTTACGTTGGCATGGGTTTTGGGTTTAAAGCAGCAGCAAACATTTTATACAGACTTTTGTTTAAAATACTAAGGAAATTTATTGTATAATAACTATCTAGTCAGTGTAATATTATGAATTTTATACGAAACTGTTTTTTTAAATATAATCTAGATTAATTATAATCGCAAATGAATTATAAATTAATTTGTAAAGCGATACTTACACGACTGCCAGTTGGATTCTGGGCCGCGTTGACAAAATCATTGAAGGTGGTGAGTGGCGGGACAACCTGAGGAGCAGGTTCCTCGTCCAATTCCCACTCGGTATCGTAATCCAACTCGGTATCGTCGGCGTACTGCTGATGCTGATGCTGCTGCTGATGTACCTGATGTTGCAGATGTTGATGATGTTGCTCGAACTGCAGTTCCTGGTGCTGATCGTACTGCAACTGCTGCTGCATCTGCATTTGCATCTGTATCTGCTGATGCTCCATGGACTGGTTGTAGCCGTAGGCCGATGCCGAGGTGCTGGGCCCTTGGTTGTAGTAGCCGCTCTGCTGCTGCACCCGTTGCAAGGCCGCCTCACGGGTGTGGTAGGCACCCAAGCCACTGTGTGTGGGCGGTGTGGGCAGCAGGCGGTGCACCACATGACCGCCAGGGGGTGGATGCTGCGACTGTGGGTGCACCTGCATGGGCTGTGGGTGCGTCGGATGGGTGGACAGTTGGTGCTGCTGATGGATCACCTGCTGGTGGCCAACCTGTAGATGCTGCTGCTGCTGGTGATGTTGCTGATGGGTCACCACTTGATGCTGCTGGTGCGCAATCCCCTGGTGTTGCTGATGGGAATGGGTCACCTGTTGATACTGCTGTGGATTTAACTGTTGATGTTGCTGCTGCAACATCACCTTCTGTTGCTGCTGCTGATGCGGCTGCTTCAAGATCGGCTTGAGGACATTGTAGGCCGGCTGGTGGGGAGCCGGCGAGGGCACCGGATGCTGGGTGCTGCTGCTTATGCTGTCACTCTCGTCGCAGCTGGCGTCTGAGCACCGAGACCGGAACCACGAACAGCAATCAGGATAAAATAAAAAAAAAACAAGAAAAAACATTAAAATAAAATTACAAAAATATATGCATATACCTTTATAAGGTGAACTGTTTGGAGAACCAGTAAGAGAAAGAAGACAGCCCAAAATAAAAACAATCGAGTTCAATGTGAAGCATTTAATCCAGGGACCGTAATTGTAATGGGTTGTATTTTAAAAATCACCTTTTAACAATTATTTTCAGATTTTTAAGTTAAGAAATAACAGTAATTCCTGGCGATAAAAAAACTTGAGCTCGATTTGTTTTTTGGCGGTTTTGCTTAACTTATTTCATTATGTTGCCATGGCTTTCTTCAATAACTCTTGTCAGTTAGTCCAAGATGAATCAAGATTCACAGGGCCTTTAGGTCACACATATGTATGTATTTTCCTGAATTTCAATCAAAATTAGAAAACTAACTAACTTTACCAGGGAAATGACACAATCTCAGGATTTGAGTAAAAATAGCAATCACAAAGTAAGACAATTGTGTTTTGCACTGGCCAGTTGACAGAAATAAACCGCAACCATGTGGTGAAAAACAAATGTGGCCAGTTCCGGTGGGTCTGCTCTCTATACTCTCTACGTTTTTAACCTAAGAAGTGCGGAACATTTTGGGATTGGGGTGGTGGTGGGTTCACACCTGGGGCACCTGTGCCCGGGTGTCTGTATATCGCTCTTCCTCTCACTCTGCCTCTCTGCGTGTGTGTCTTTGCCAGGAATTATGTGTCCCAAGTTGAAGTCAAATATGAAAATGTTTTGCCAGAACCCAAAAAGCAAACTTTTTCCGAGACATTTTCCACTGACTTTGTATACTATATGCGTATGTATGCGTGTGTATTTGTGTTTGCTTTTCTGTTTACATGTTTATAGCCAAGCTTAAGTTTTCTTTGCTGTTTCCTTTTGTTGCTGGGCGAAAAGGAAAAAAAATTAATAAACTTTGGCTCTTTGTGCGTCGGTGGGCGCCATAAAAATTGTCGGTTAGACCCGAAGCATCGCTAAAAATATGGCCACACACATGACAGGTTAACAGACTCGACCACACGGATACCCATTAAATATTCATTTGCTTTTGGGGAGATCCTGTCACTCAAATGTCGGGATTCCAAGAGGTTTACACCTTGACTTTTTGGAGAAATCAACTTGAAATCCGCACTGTAATTGTAAAACCAGCAAACTTAAATATAAATCAAATTAAAATGTCTATTAAATATTAACAATCAGCTAGTATAAATAATAAATGCAAATCGAAAGTAAGGTACAAAACAAAATATTTTCACATTTTAGACATCGAAACTTTTGTTTTAAAATTCACAAATTGCGAAACAATCTACATTCTCATTATTTTTAAATTTTCTCGGAGGAATACACCCCCCGAAAGTTCAGCCATGTCCAATGGGTGGCCATAAAAATTGTTTTCAACATATTTATGATTAAATTTCATGGCTCCGAGTTTGTCTAGGAAACTTTCTGGGTGCTTTCTCTTAATTAGCGTGTGGCACATTCTTCGTCGACAGAGCTTAAGAATTTTATTATGCTGCCGCCATTTAAATTTTGGCAACTGAAGCCGAAAACGAAGCCGGGAGGAGTCTATTAAATGGGATCTCTAAGGATGAATTTATATTGTCTGCCGCATCTATATCTATATTATGCAGCTCAATCATTCGATTAATGAGTGTGACAGTCGGCGGGCATTTGTCACTTGTTTTTGTTCATTTGAGGGCATGATTTTAACCAGTAATTCACTTGATCCCGCCGATTAATCATAACGTTCGAGGCTCTTTTCGGTTCAAACATTTTTCAGCCGCATTCACTCGAATTAATCACCATGAAGGGGCCCATCCATTATAGAAATGAGTCGCCGGCCCCTTTTATCGGGCGGCTCCATTCAACAGTTTACCAAATGCAATTAAGTGGACAAAGGCAGAAAGAATCTTTAAGTTGGAATCCTTTCACCTGTCGGGGAACATGGACGTGGGGGTCCATCCGAAAAAGAGCCGATTATCCATGTAACCCGTCAATGTCACCCGCCTCCCTTCTCTTCCCCAAAACAACCAAAAAAAAAAAAAAAAATGAAGGGATGAGGAAAAATGGAAAAGGACTCGGGACGAGCAGCGGGTAAATGTCGGACCTTTTTCGCTTTATACTCTTCATTTGCCACTTTTTAAGTTGATGTTTAATTTTCGTTTTTGGGCTCCCTTCCGGCTCCTGTTTGCTGGCTCTTTGGTGCGGCCTTGACTTATCCGTTTTATTATTTAAAGCGAATTTAAAGCGCGTTTACCCAAAGAGGTTTTTTATTTTCCCAATATCCGTAGTTTACTAAATTCTCGTGTCGCACACACACACAAAAAGCCATTGTTAGAGTTTGCCTAATACAATTTTCGGCTTAAATTAAATCACTTTTTCAAGTCAAGTACCGAAAGCTAATGCACTAAGCTGATTCCCAACTGAATTAAGTTGAAAAGCTGTCCAAAAAGGAGGACAACTTGGCCAACGTTTGTTTAACATTATTCCCTGTCATTACCTGGGGCCAACATCTATGAAAACTGTTTAGTTAGGCAGCACTGGCTCACGGGAAAAATATTTTTATAAAAATGTCTGAATACTTAGAAAACCATGGCAATTTAAAAAGTAACTAAAAGAAAAAACAAACAAGCATTTCAATGCAAGATAAAGGTCAAAACGTGTAAGCTAGTGTAATGGGCGTCCGGTGCTAAGTGCTTTGAAGGGACATCAAGCGACTTGTCCCTTGACTTGTTGTCAGGTGCCACAAAACAGCCGCAATTGCATCAATGTGGCAGCCACAACGGTGGCAAAGCGTAGGGACCTGGACCTGCTATCTGCTCTCGTTAGCTCTGTCAGCTGAAGTCTGGAGCATGGAGACTGGAGTACGAAGTCTGGAGACGAGAGACCAGAGACCGGAGAACGGAGTATGCCCCATGTCATTGTCGCCGTAAAGTGTCACTTTGTGCCCGGAAAACAAGTCCAGGCGGTGGTCTTAATTAACCTGCCAGCCGATGGCCGTGCAGCATGCAAACAGGCATCAGCCATCAGCTCGTTCTGCAATTGGGGCCACCGCCCATGGCACGCACTTCCGACTTCCGCACTTCGTGGCAGTTCGGTTGGGTCCTCCTTCTTGGGGAAAGGATAAAGTCAACCCCTGCCCAGTAACTGTTGACTAATTCCCTAATCAAGCGCCAGCCCCTGCAGCGCCTGCATTTCCGTTGCGATAATCCAGATGGCCGAGATTTCCTTTTTTCCGCTGTGAAAAAAACGTCCACATTGCGTGCGCTTTTAATTGCGCTTTACAACACTGTCAAGTGATAAAACGGCGGACTGCAGGGCGGATACTTAATCAAGGTAAAATTAGGGCCATCTAAAGCGCTTTGAGTTTAAACTTTAAAGTGTGGCTTATCCTGTTGGAGTCTTTAACAAGTTTGGAAATGTTTACTTTAGTACTTTTACTTTTTCTCAAAAAATTTCTTTCAAAAACATTTTTCCACACTAAGCATCGCTTAAAAAAGATAATTTTAAATCTAAAACTAAGCTTAAGACTATATTATTTAAGACTTATTCCAAACCAATCCCTTTATGAAGTTTTTATTATTTCCCTTAAATACTCACCGAAATCAAAGGCCCTCTCGAGAATGACCGATCCACGCTTCTCCTGCCGCTCCTGGCGCTCCTGCAGATCCTTGTTCTTCGAGGCCGCCACCTCGGCGGATGTAAAGGTGCTCGACTTGTCGATGGGCTTGCCCTTGGGAGTTTGCGGCAACTGGTATCCTGCGACGTATCCTCGCATATAGTTAACCCCACCGTTGTCCTCGCCATCGGGTCCGGAACGTGAAGCTTGGCCATTGCCGCAAACGCACTCGCAACAGGCCAGGGTCACGTGCTTCTTCTGGCCAGAGCTCATCTGTTGCTGCTGGAGCTGCTGCTGAAGGTGCTGGCGGCCATTTATGGTGTGTTCATCGTGCAGACAACAGATCTTGATGTCGCTGCCAAGCAAGATGGCACATCCGCGATCCACAGTGGCACTGGTTGACTTCAAGGCCGACTTGAGGTTCGATTTCGAGGGGGATGCATACATATTCGGCCCACTTCCTCCTGCAACTACAGATCCTCCTGATCCTCCTGCTCCTAAGGATCCTCCTGCTGCATTGCCGGGTGGCAGGGTCAAGTCGAGGACACTGCCGCTGCTGCTCGAACTGACATTCGGTGCCAGGGTGACGGGTCCCAGGCCCAAAGCATTTAGCCCATTGCTGCTCAGGGTCAGCGATCCTCGCGAGCGATTCCTGCGCAACGAATTGACCCGGCTGGTGGTGGCGGTGTTGACGAAACCTACATTTCGGCTGGCATAAAGGTCGATGCTGCTGCCACTGCCACTGCGACCGCGCGGCTGAAAGGCTCGCTGCTGCAAATTAATCAATAAAAACACAAATATTTACTCAAAACTGTAAATCGAAATAATAAAATTGTCACTGCTTAATTTAAATCTTCCTCTTAGACTGACTGTTCTGTTTTACTTTTTAATCACAATTAGAAATTAGCCATACAAAATAAGTATACTGTAGTTATTCTTAGAAAATAATGTTTTAAAGTAAGGAAATTTTAAAAATTGTATTGGCAATGTATAGTTTAAGGTCACCATTTCAAATTGAAGTTACAGAAGCTCGACTACAAATATATAAAACTATATTTAAATTAAACTCAAAATTTGTTTGTACAATGCCTAATTCATATCATATATCTCATATGTAATATCTCACCTGCTGGGCATTCTGCTGCTGTTGTTGCTGCTGCTGTTGCTGGATCTGCTGCTGATGCTGCTGATACTGCCGTTCGGCGCGACCCCTTCGATCGTTGCGATCGCCGCCACTGTGACTCCGCATGCTGCCGCCGTACCTCTGCCGCTGCGGCTGAACGGGGCTGTTTTGGCGCGGAATCACCTGGAAGAAAACACCAAAAAATCACAAAAAAAAAAGGGAATATTGCGATTAACTTTTTAGTGTTTGTCACATTCTTAAGGAGCATGCGAGCAGGCGGACAGTCATCCAAAGGGCGGTGGGGGGTCTCAGGGGCTCAGGAGCTACCTTATCCTCCAGCAGATTGGCAAACAGCCCCACATGATCCTCGTCCTCGTTCATCATTGCAAAGAAGTTCTTAAACGTGTCGGGGAACGAGGCCGGAAACTGGCCACGAGCCTCCAACTTGGTATCCATGGCTCTTCTACCGCTCTCTTTTCTTTCTCACTTTCTCTTCTCTTCTCTTTTTTTTTTTTATTTTTTCCTTCTTCAATGAAAAAACTTTTTTTTTTGGTCCGTCGACGTCGCAAACCAAGTAACATGCAAGAAGAGAACAGGCATCAAGGTTAGAGTGGGACAGCGAGAGCAAAAGAGCTGGCAATAGCAGTGGGCGAACATAAAAATAAATTATAGAAAATATAATAAATGAAAATTAAATATTTGGTTTAGTCATCTCAATCTGGACTCATCCTCTACAGATCTGTGAAGCCATAGAAATCTTCTTTGCGAAGTGGACACTAAAAAATAAATTCGAACTTGAAGGCATAGGAAAAGTACCTTGAGAGAGAAATTTGAATCTAAATAAAACCCTCTTTTGAATACAAAGTTTCTTTCCAACTTCCAGCTTAAAAATTATTCTTATTTAAATGGAAATATATATTGTAAAAATGTTAATCTTCAAAGCTTTGCGACCCACAATATGGCCCAGAAATGAATGAAAGCCATTTTAGTTGACAAAAATCCAGTTCTTTTTGTATAAACATTCATTCAGCAATCGCATCCATACCTTTTATAGGGTCGCTGTGATTAAGATTAAGGCCAATACCCAAGTTTTCTCAGTTGTTGAACTTTAATTGAAAGCGAACTTCTTTCAAGCGCAACTCAAGGGTAAGTGAGTGGGTGGAAAATGGGGTGGGGGGTTCCGTCAAAATACTTAGCATACTTTTCGGCACCCCTTCGCCCCATCATCCCTCATCCCCATTTTCCAACTCCCATTCAAGTTCTCCTTCATCTCGGGCTTTTCCTCCTCGAGCCTCTTCACACACTTTTTCCAAGCGGCTAAATTTGAAAAGTTATCAGACCGCCGCGCCTCGCAAAACTGATGTTGAAGTTGTTGACGTTGCACTATGGGGCATTTGACCACTTTTGTTGGCCGAAATTAATAACTCGGTCATTTCAAAAGATATTGACTTGAAACTTTACCAGTCGCCATTTCTTATCCGATGTTATATATGATAATCATCCGGATCGGAAACTTATTATAGTGCCATAGAACATAATTACTTTGCTGTTTTTGGAGATAAATGACATAACTTTAGAATTAGAATTTGTAGTTTTAAACAATATTACAGTTTTGTCAATCGGACGACTATATCCTAAGTTATAAAAAAGGGGAAGGGATTTTTTCATTTGTCGATTTTGTTCAGTTGTGGAAACTTTCGTTTTAAAGCCGCTAAGTCCACTTAGTTGTTTAAAGCTTAGTATTTTCTATATTTTGATAATATTTAAAGTCGAAGTCCTTCTCCTTAGCCACCAGTGAACGATAGGAGTTTGTGAAATTTGAGGTTATGGTCTAAAATTAAATTACGAAAAGTGGCATAGTGGGATTCTGACCTATACTTTTAAACATTAATATTCAACCCATGGGTGGTGGACTCGCTGCTCCTTTGTTGTCCATTTGAAATTAGTTTTTTAAAAATGTCTTGTGACACTCCCTTTAACACTCATTTGTTGAAAACGTCTATTTTGTCGTCGACACATACTTGTCTGATATCCTTTAATCCATCAAGTTTCTTGTTGCTTAAAACTAATTTAAGCACTTTAAACTGGTAAGTATCACGCTCGATATTGTTCAACGCTGATTTAACGCTCCTACCTTCGGCGCCTCTCGATTTGTAACGTCATTGTTATGGTCTTTTGTTACACATTAAATTTTGTTTTGTTTTAAAAATGGGTTTTGAGTGGTTCGTTGGAGGTGTCACTCCGACATATATATATGTATGTATGTATGTTGGCCCGGAAGAAATATATATACCCCCATCTCGAGATGTACACGAAAAAACATGGGACAAAAAGTTATTTTAATGGCGGTTTTTTCGGACTGGACACCAAACAACTTATTCAACTTTTATGCACTGCAAATGGACTAAACCCGCCGCCACTTCTGTATAACAAAAAAAAAGCAGCCCCCATCGGGCATGTAAATGAGGTGCAGATGTGCGTCACAGAAAAATAAAAACGGAAACGAAAAAATGTTCTCTTTGCAACTTTAGCGAAATTCAATGCGTTACCGATTTTAGAATTTGTTTAAACTTAAGTATACAATTTATATTAGTTTTTTAGGTAAAGCTTTCCAAAATTGTTTTAGAGAAAAAAAATTCGGTTTTTGACAAAAATGTGAACTTTTTTTTGTTTTCTTGTTGTAACTTGGCCAAAAATGGTCTTACACCAAAAATATATACTGTTTTGAACAGATAACAAAATAATAAATAAATCCATGACACTTTCCGGGTGATCTTAAGAAATAAAATGTCCAGGTTTAAATGCCAATTGATTGGAAATTTAATAACGAGTTCAGAAAGGTATGACAATCCATATTTGGATCAATATTTCTATTGCTGCGGCCAAAAAACGATTTTTTTTTTGTGGAAAATTGGGATCTGTGTTTTCGGTAAAAATTTAAATTTTTTTCTTTTGTTTTTTTTTCTGTAACTTGGTTAAAAATGGTTTTCGATAATATAAAGCAAAGTACAAATAATATAACAAGAAGATGCCAGACATATTTATAAAGTGCATTAGTTGCACTATAAAGCGTCACCACAATCTTTGACAGGGGCGAAATCGTTATCATTCCCCCTCGGTTGACTCAACAAGTTGCCTCACTTTTCTGGGCGTGACCATTATGCTTTGTTGGCTTTGTGGGCGTGTCCAGTGCAGTCTAGACTCTAGACTATAATGCCAAGCCCAAGATTCCCTTCCACGAAGAGGTCATCGGACGCGAACCGCAATTAATTGCAACGCAACAAATTATAAGCCACTCGAAACGCAAACACACTTGAAAAAGTGCATTGCCAAAAGAGGAAATATTGTATTTGTATAATGAGCAATTCATTGGAATTTAATTAAATGTTGGTTTAATATTTATAAAATCTATTTTGCCATTAACGATTGACATAATGTCCACTTAACCATTTTATTTCACTATGATTTTTGGTCGGAAATAATCTAGCTAAAATGTTTTGAGTGTTTGGGGTGGCGGGGGCTTGGCAAGTATTCGCTTCTTTAATGAGGGGATTTCCTAACCTAATCCGCTTTATGAAAGCGTTTGATCTAACCGCTGCCGGGCTATAATAACGAATAACCATAATGCCCTCTAATTTTCCACTGCAGCTCGAATTTGCTGCCAATTTGCAGTGGGAAAAGTTTTAGCGGGCGGGGGGTCAGAAGCCCCCGAAAAAGCCCCCCTTGGGCAATTTGCGAGGCGTCGGCGGGAGCCAAGCACCCCCTTTTCCCTTTTCATTTTTCCCATTTTTTTCACTCAAACATTCTGGGCTGTAAAACAACGAGAAAAAAGTTAGCCTCTTTCGTCAAGTCCCCAGCTCAACCATGTCAAGTGGGAACCTGGCCCAGACTCTCGCGTCGGGCTTATTAAAAAGTTGCGGACACAGTGAATTGCTCTTTGGGGGAGTGTAGGTGGGTGCAGAGAGAGAAAAATGCATTGACTTTGATGCAGTTGGTCCAATTGAATATGGATATGCCACTAAAAAGAACATCACTTTGCTGTAATCTCAATAGCAAATCAATTGGAGATTTTTTAAATATATATTTTTATAGATCTGGTAACTATATCTTTCTTTTTTCTCTGTACAAAGCACTGCTATAAGGGGGTCGGCTTGGGCGTTTTGCAAAAGCGTTTAGTGTCCTTAGATGATTGTACGGAAACAAGGACAGCGTTTCAAAAAATATGAGCATACCTTACATGCCGTAGCGTCCCGCCTCTTTGGCCTAGAATCCCAGGATCCCATACATTCGTCCCTGCAGCCTTTTTAATTAGCAAACCAAATGTAAATTCGCCACAAACGACGGAGAAGATTTAAGTGAAGCCTCGGCAGCAACATATTATTCTCTGTCTTATGGTTTATTCAGTCATTCATATATTAAATTAACATGGAGTTGAAGGCACAAGGACATACCTACATATATGGCTACAAGAGTTTATTGAGCCAAAAAGGCAACTTGGCCCCAATTTTTGTCCGCTTTCTCACCCATCTATCTTTTTGTTGTTGCCTACAGTTGCGGTTAAAATATTAGTGGCACATGGCACAATATTCAACAATTAGTCATTTCACAGAAATGTAAAAAGTTATATTTCAAAAAACCTTTTTGTTCGTGCATACAGGTGCGGTAAAAATATTAGTTGCACATGGTACCAAAGTATGTAACAATTATTCATTTCACCAATAAAAACTTTTTTAGTTCTGTAAAAAGTTATATATCTAATTTGCAAAGCCAAATAACCAAACCACAACAAATGCAACTTCAGATCTTAATTGAATACGTGTGCTGCCAATTTGTACATGGTCTGGGAAAATACAAATATACAAGAAATAGAAATTTTAATTACTTTTTTACTCTTCAAACCATTTTTAAAATACACTTTTGGTATGTTAAAACTGGGTTTTAAAATAATACTAAAGAGTTTACTTGTTATTAGTAATAATTTGTGCTGCACGATTATTCTAAAGAGCTACATTTATTTTACCAGCACAGTGCTAAATAGTTATTAAATCTAAAATTCAAAAATGTATAAAAGTGTAATATATTCTCTCAGAAAACCTTTTATAGTACTGTGTTATCCTCAGTTGTATGCATATGTGGGTGAATTTATTGCTTGCCCAAATAGGTATGCTACAAAACGCCAAATGAGCCACAGCCTGCGGCCAGAGAAGGGGGCGTAGAAGGGGCTGAAAACACGCCAAAGGGGGTCGAAAACAGGGTGAGATGCGAACGAATTGAGGGCTCCCAGAGCAAGGGCAGTCATATGAAACGATGGCTGAGGTGGCGCCAAGATATTGCAGCTGCCGCTTTTTGGAGGTTAAGTACCAGTCACATTCAGGGCCAAAGCGAGGTGATGGTGATTGTGGGTCTTGCTGGTAAGTGAAGACCCACGCCTAAGGTCAATGCAAATGCAACGTTCAATGGTTAACATATTTCTCG